CATTCTAAGATTTGGGCCTTACTTAAAAAATTAATGTTAAAAATTAATGATTTGACAAACTGAAAACTAAGATCAGCGAAGGACTCCGTGCTCATCATTTAGATAACATCAATTAAGAACAATTAAGTTAACGTTAATTAGAGATGAGCAATGATTAGTTTATTTAGTGTTGCCGTATCTTTCCTCTCCTCCGAGATAAATATCAAAATTCCCTCCTATTTTTATTATCACACTGAAAATACACTCTGGAGATTGAGAATAGGTAGAAATTGGGAAAAGGTGGCGACACAAAATTTTTTAAACAAAATTCACTATCTTCTACAATAAATATGACTGATCTAAACGAAAGTTTTGTTTGTTGGTTTGCTCGAGCTCCTTATGTCGCAGCCAGGACTCGTTTTTACACAAATTACACAAATGACCGTCACCTCATCTTCGATATACCAAACACCACGAGTAATATGTATCAGTGATTCCCCGGCTTATTACTTTAAGGCTTATTGACTCCCCTCTGGAGGCTTTTTGAACTTGTTTGTCCCCATGTTTGTCGTTCCAGTGGTATTTAAATTGGTAGATTCCGAATCGCATTATGTTCGAACAATTCATGCTCAACAAAGTGAAAAACCCGTGAAATAACGTTATGCAGCAATGAAACTAGAAAAACAGGGAGGTATTTTGCCAAGGGAATAATAAAAACAGTTTGCACCTATCTCTGTGGCCTACCTCAAACTTTTTTGTGGGCCCATTTAGGTTTCCCGATTGGGAATTTATGACCTGAAAAACACAACTCAGCCGTTGCAAAATAAAGCTGCCTTTCAGTGCGTGAGAGCTTCTTGTACATGGCCATATTCAAAGTAAACTCTTACATAGAGACTTACTTTGTATCTACTTTAATGCTCCCCTACTATATATAATTCGCTCCAAAGAACAAGAAGCCACATGCACAAGGGCCTAACATAATAATATAACAAATAAATCAAAAAAATGAAAAAGTATCAAAAGTCCTTTCTATCTTTTTGAAATCATGTGATCGTAATAACTAATTTAGCTACTCTCGTAGTATTCGTACCAAGATGGCGCACAACCTGAATATAGTATGTGTATCAAGTTAGGATTAGCGGGTTTTGTGTCATTTGTGTACGAATACTACGGGAGCGCCATAATTTAATCTTTCAGTATATATTTAGATTGCTACGAACGAAGCTATGTACAGAACGACATTCTTGCTTAGGTACGTAGCATAATTTTGCAACGACTAAATTACTTGTTAAAGACTTATGAGACCATGTTTGTAAAGTATAATATTAATAGGAAATTCCAAACTCCAGAGAGGTGAATGCTAGATAACGATAACTCCAACGTCTGGAGATAACCGACAAGCTAATAGTTATAGAATGAGACGCCATGGCCCACACAATCACATACCCCATTTTATCGTCTGTCTCTGAGATGAGACGTCCTCCCTATCCTAATACATATTCAAGCTGCAACCAATAACAGGGACAATGCGTCGGAGGATAACGGGCAATCTATATTAAACCCTTGACTATTAGACGAGAAGCCCGTAATCTGATTCGACGTTTTCTTGTCTGTCTCTTGAACTGGTATGAAAAGTAGTATAATATATATATGTTTCACCATCTTATCGTCTGTCTCCTGTATCGAGGTGAAAAACCCTATCCTATGCTAAGACATATTCGAGCTGCACGTAACAAGTCTATGCGTCAAAGTAAAACCGAAAATCTTTTCCCTTGTCTATTAGACGAATGTCTGTGGTCCGCAATTAAATTCGCCGTTTTATTGTCTGTCCTCTATATCACAATAAAAATCACTATCCTGTACATATTCAACTCACAAGCAGCATCAGTTTCATACATTCGAAAATATTAAATCAAAATCTATTTCTCGGTACTTTGACGAAAGGCCGATTTATTGTCTGTCTCTCGAATCGGGATAAAAAGCATTATTCTATCCTATAAGACTCATTCACGATGTAAGCAACGATAGTTATATGGATTTGAATATATCTAACGACAAGCTTTACCTTTGGTTATTGCACCAGAGACCGTGGCTCGCAATGTCATACACCGTTTCATCGCATGTCTCCTGCATCGGGATGAAAAGCCCTATATTCAATCTTAGATAATAATAAAGCTACAAATAACAATAAGTCCATGCGTCTAAGGATAACTCATAATCTAATTGCGTAGTCCGCAGTCTGATTCGCCGTCTCAACACCTGTCTCCTGTATCGAGCTGCATAGTCCTGTCCTATAAGACAAATTCAAGCTACAAGCTAACCAACATAAAAAAAAATCCTGCGAAAGATATTGCTTCATTTACGCTGATAAAGTGAAGTATTCTGTTACGTAAATATATTATTTATCGCGCGTGAAATTCAATACACATTTCGTCACCTAACTTACATCGCTATTGTATAAATTGGAAGTAATAAAACAACGGTGTCTGCTCACAGAATGCGATACAATACACCTTGCTGATTTTAGTGACATCGGGATCTTTGAAGCGATAAAAAGGCGTGAATAACACACGTGGGTCGCACTTATTTCGTCATAGTTGTAAAAGCGATAGTTACAGCTTCTGATCGAATATCGGCAACTTCGTGCAATTAATGCTCGTTTTTGATGATTCTTTACCGCCCTCTCCTGGCTTCAGCAATAAAATTGAAATGCGTCCCTAGAAAAAAGATAGTCTCGCAGATGTAATGCCACACTGATGGCTCAATATTTGTGGAAACTAGTGCGTGGAACCTTTGGACAAAAATGGCTTCTTCTACCACCAAGCATACGCAGGTGAAACAAATAACTGTCTAACTAATCTCACACTCGACATGAATTGGAGACGGACGCAAACCCGTGGTTCGCCATACGACTGAGCGTATTATTGGCTTTTCCTCGCCCGAAATAAATAAGTAAATTCTATTTTATCGCCATGTTCAAATCATCGTAAAACTGTTGTTTTTAACAAGTTTTATAGTCCTGTGATGGTATTGTGTAGTTTGAGCCTACACGTTTAGCAGTTATATCAGGACTAAGGCAATTTCTGGCTCTCGAGTTTTCTAAATGTGTCAGTATTAAAAAACACGATTTCGCTTGGGTATAAATTACCTAAATACGTCGTCAGGGAGTATGGAATTTTTTTCATGGCTTCAATACAGTTTGTGGGGGAATTTCGCTCTGAGAAATATATATTTTTCCATATGGGCTTTGAGCCACCACCTCGCTTAATTATCATATCATATTACTCGTAGTCGTTACTCTGAGTAAAACAATGGAATTATCTGCTAGAAAGGAATAAACCCAGTGGTGGGCTGTAGTCGGAACGGCGTTCCGGTTGTTGGATATTTTATTGCATTTGCGTTCCTGTTGTTGAAATCAAATTATGGTACAAGAAGTCTAGTTTCTCTAGTAAACTTAGTTAATAATTTATGTTTTGTTACAGCATAATTCGTAATTTTTTTCACATCACATCACGCAATTAGGACAATAGAAACGTGCCTATTTTTCGGAGATGCCTTTTATTTTGATTTATCAAAAACAAAATTACAAAGTAGATAATAACTAGATTTTCACATATACGAAATATGAAAACCGATATCAATTTTTTTTTATAAATAAAACGCTTTTACTGAGAAAACGACTAGGTTGTCTTTATTTTAGGGAGGAGGGGCTTATATTAAAACCATTTGTAAAATTCTTATTTCCGTGGAGACACGGTACTTGATTTGTGATCTTTTGTAGTCGGGAAAAATAAACACAAAATTTCAATTTCTGGAAAGACCGGACCCAAATAAGTTTTGTATGCGGATCTCCGGTAAAAATATTTGAGTAGCCCTGCCCTACTCCATTTGAAACAATAATTGGCCACATTGGTTTCGTACAAATACATTCTGTCATGAATCTTTTTTAATATAAGTTAGTGAATAAAAATTGCAAAGCATAGATCATGGAACTTGTAAAGGTAAACATGGCATGATGAGGTGAGATGATTGCAATAAAAGCAAGTTGCTGTTTGCATGCCAGTATATCTATACATATAACACAGAGCTGTCGAGTCGTATTTCCAAACTTCATAGAGTCAGAATTTCAGATTTCAACGATGAAAATAGTCACAATATACAACATCTTACCATTCCCAACGAAAAATTTTAAAAATTTTTACCCAAAAAGTTTTTTCAACTTTGAGTTCAAAGAGTGAAGTGTCAGGGCTTCTTGTACATAGCTAGGAGTTTGACGTGCATGGAATTTAAGCATGGAACTTTATTCAATACAGTTAACCTACAATATGTCGAGGAAAAGAAACATTTGCAATCGCATACAAAAAATTCGAAGTTGATTATTGGCAACTATCTCATAAATAAATATAATGAATAGTGATAGAAAGCTAATATAATAACGAGAAATACCTCACAAAAACTGAAATTTAGTATTCCATATTAGTGACATGAAGCAAAATAATTCAATAAATGACAATGCATATACGTATGTATAAGATATAAAATAGTGAAATCCAACCTTAAAAGTGCAAACTTGATAAGAAAGAAATAAAACACCAACATTTTGTTTAAAAGGGGTTTGTTACAGTTATATCAACGCCAATGACTTGATAAGATGAACTTTACCTAGAAGTACAGTTATTTAGTCGATGCATTTCATCATGCACTTACTGGATTGTAGAATAATGAGTAAAGCTAGAATATTCAAAGTCAAGTTTTTTTTTTCTCAATACATTATTGAGCAGTGACAACCAAGGTTCTATATGTAATTAAGTTTGTAAAGTCGGAAATTAAGTTTTAAAAACACTGTTATCTCTGACAAATTGAAACTCGGTTCGTGATTTGAATGATGATATTAAAACATGCTCCAAAATGAATCTACCATTGAATCCCCGCCAATGACCCAATAGAAAAGTTAATACAGTCAGTATTTACAAGAAACAAATATATTTTCTTATTGTCAACTTTTACCAATGATTACACATCTATTGAGCATAGTTACAACAATAAACACAGTCCAGCTCAGTCCAATTCATTTCACAGACTATTTCCCATTCACCAGTTTCCTCATTGAATGTTTCAATAGAATCCTTAGTCAGGCCTCCACCTTGAGTACCACCGACTGCATACATTTTATTATCAACAACACATGCACTGAACCAACTTCTATTCATCTTCATTTTTGCAATTTTCGTCCATGAGCGAACAACAGGGTTATAACATTGAACAAGGTTGTTAAAACCCTCTCCATCAAAACCACCCAGTACATAAACCATACGTTGAAAAATGACTGCTGCACCATCTGCTGTTTCATAAATCATCTGTGGCAGGGAAGACCATTTCTTTGTGCCAGGATCGTATACTTTTACTTCTTTTTCTGTTAACGAACCTCCCATCGCATATATAAACCTATCAGAGGCAGCGGCTTGAAAACCATAATCAAGACGACATGAAGGCAAATCCTTTTCCCATCTGTCTTTGGCAATGTCATATCGCAATGTATGCTGATCACGGCCGATAATATAAATTCCACCCTTGAAATAAACCATCTTATCGTTCTCATCACTCTTCCTTTCAATCTTGGACTTCTTGATCCATTGACCATTTAGTAGCAAAGATAATTCATTCCCATCAGAAGCATACAATCGTTCCTCAACATTGACAAGATGAATGCCAACTTTATAATCTGACTGTAAACTAGACCATTGATTTGTTTGAAGATTCAGAGCCTTTATACCAGTCTTTGTTGAGACAGCAATATGTGGCACAAGTTTATCAACAGCGTCTCTGGCATAAACAAGACCAAGCAATAAATCTTTACACTTATGCGACTCTTTAACCAAAGGTTCATTTCTGACTGTTTGTTCAATAAAATTCTCAGAAAAATCCTGAAGTTTTAGCAACTCAAACAAGTCTGGAAAAAAATTGTTATGACGACGACTTTGTTTAGCCCATTTCAGTGCAGCTTCCCATTTTATTTTCTCTGAAGAATATTTTGTTTCCTGAGATTGGAACAAGAAAAAAATTTCGTCTTTTTTCAACTCGATAAATTCATCCATTGCTACTATTTGTTCAAAATTCTGAGCCATAAATTCATTTATTATTTTTCTGGCATTCTCTGAGCAAACTTGGCTTTCGATCCGATTAATTTGTGTCGAGAGACAAATTCTCTTTCAACCCATCGATATTCAAAAGCAATTTTTTGATGACAAAACTTTTTGCAACGGGAGAATTTTCTACCAAATAATCATTTAGCATATCAGTAATCAAAAATTTATAAGGAAACTCTCCAAAATGCAAAGTCTCCATTAATTCTGATCCAATCTTTTTACCTTTGTTTAAAAACCATCTTCTCACAGCATGCCAAACTACTTCATGTTTTTCTTTCAACTTTTGCAGATAAAATACGAGTTCTTCTTTGTTCAGATGTAGAAAATCTTCAACTAAAATCAGAGACTCAAAATTATCTACAATGAATAGCTCAGCAATGGTTTGTAGCTTTGTGCAATCATAATGTCTTGCCAACCTGACCACTAGAAAGCAATACTGCACTGACAGATTATTTTCCATGAAATCAAAGCATATACTTGATAATACATCAAGCTGCATAAACTGAGAAGCATACAAAGTATTTTCAACAGATTCCATGGATGGATTTGCTTCACCAGTATACATGAAATCTACACACTGCCCTACAGCATCAGCACAGATGTCTTTCATGATGACAAAACCATCCCGAGCCTCAACCATGTTAATTGAAAACATGCTTTTGAAGTACTTTGATACTGCGGCAAGCAGGTCTCGATGGACTATGAAAGATTTGTCACCGACTTTGATTGTGAAATTACAAATGCAGTCAGATTGCTTTAATTCATTAAATGACGTAAGTACATTCAATGAATGGGTAATCTTTGCAGATTTTCTGAAATCGTCCATATTGTGAATCTCAGAGATGGTAAAGCTTTAATAATAGGCATAAATGAGAGCAAGATGCAGATCTATCTAGATTCTGTAATATTTTGAGTAAATGTTACCGAGCGGTCATTTATATTATGTTTATTATTAATCTACTACTTTGACGTTGTTTAACTGAAATTAGTTTTTTCAAAAATGTGAAAAAATGATCCAACAGAATCAATACAATGGTTAACTCGTCAAGAGTAAATATTCAAAGATATCACAATGGAGTTGGTACAATCATCTTTATCACTCAAATTTGCTCGATGCAAATGTGTTTTGAAAACACGAAAAGTTGAACAGTTATAAGCAAATTTCAGTTAAAACGGGAACTGAAGCAATCCAATTCGATAATACTGAGAAAAGTAATGGGAAGGGTTGTCGGCAAATTCGAGTATTCGGGAGTATGATATGGCATGGAATCAACATCGCCAAGTATCAATTCTGCAAAATCCGTGAAGTAATCAAGGATTCGAGAGACAAAAGCTATGGAGTCTGGATCCTTGGTAAATCAGCGAATATCTCTGGGATTGATTTGAAGAGTAACAGAAAGTTTTCAGAAGTAAGCTGTGTTGTGGTAAAAAGTTTCAAATTTCGTAAAGTTTTAGAAAGTGTTGATGGCTCACTTAAGCTGGATTCTTGTTCCTACTAGATCAGGGGTGGGCAACTTTTCTAGTCGGCGGGCCGGATATGAGAAAAATGAAGTCCTCGGCGGGCCGGATTATTACAAAAAATACTTTGGTATCCAATCTTTGTTAAATGCTCGACACTCTCTGTCAACTTTACGTTTCTTGGGATATTCCATGGTTAATAAAACCTAATATAAAATCTAATTTCAAAAATCTAATTATATTTATTATCTAAATATAACAGTAGTGGGAAATATTTACAACGCTCGCTGCTTTGACCTTATATTGTTTGTTTAACAAGTGTGGTAACGCAATTGTTTGTTCACTAAAGCAATTGTTTATTTCACCAGCTCGTACTGACACTGACAGTGCGGTGAGAGTAGAGCGATCGGCAACTTTCAGGAATGATGCGTCGGACCGCATAACAGCGTGTGGTTGGATACAGTCAGCGGGCCGGTCAAAATCTCGTCGCGGGTCGGATCCGGCCCGCGGGCCGTATGTTGCCCACCCCTTTACTAGATTGATTATTATTTCATATCCACAGACTCAAATCGTCGATTTAATATTACTGTTTCTGCCTGGAATTCTACAATGTGCTTACTGCTGACACATTTTTTAATCTACTTGAGAAACATTCTTGAAGAATCAACCTGGCTAAACGTTCTGAGTATCTGCTGATCTATAACAAGATTGTAAAACTATTATAAAATTCTACCTTTCATCTTCAATGTCATAAATTTTTTAAAACCTGATACGCCCTGAATACAAGCTTTTCATACAATACAAGCCAGTCACTAGTTTTATGAGCAATGTCAGACCTCCGCTACGGGTAAGGGCGGGCTGTTAAATATAAACTAGTTATGCATAAAGAGTCATTCTTGGAAGAACTGTAATCTTCACATTACAGATTGAATAATGCTAAGGCAAGAATTCAAGAATAATGCGTAGTCAATTTTTTTTATAATGACATAATGCGTCGCTTTTGCTCCGAACAAGGCTAGATAAAGCAGTCATTGTCATCTAACAATACCTAAGATATAAATCTAACAAGAATCTCTCTACTGACTTATTTCACTGCCGAAATTATCTAAAGTATACAATTATCCAATGTATATTGCATAGTAAAGATGACCCATGGATATTATAACTGAATTTAATGCAGTTTATAAAATGCTTATAGGACAATATATGTCATGTAGTATAAAAGTAACCAATTTACCAAATCGGCATAAGAAACACTGATAGCATTGAGCATAACTCATATCACATACTACTGGGGTTGGCAACCTTATGTTGCACGCGGGCCAAAATTGCCGTAAGTGTTGGAAATCTTGGCGGGCCACACATATCTATTTAAGAAAGTTAAAAACCGAACGGGTGGCTGATGAATTTTTTGTTGTAATTGACGTAGTAACATTTTCAATTTTTTTTTTTTTTTGAGCAAAATGTGAAAAAGACAACGATCGTGGACCTAAGCAATATTGCGACATTTATTCGGATGAATGCGGTAATAAAGGTAAATTCCCAATATTTTGCAGCAATATCTCATTTCTACAGGAACCAATGGTCACAGCCAATATGATCTCGTGGTTGGGAGATTTCGGTGATGTTCGTTCGTGTTAGGAACTGAAATCTATGAGAATTAACGCATACCAACGTGACACGACGTGATACAACGTGACAAGCAAAGTTGGACCCATTACTTTTATCAGGGATGGACTGATTGAACTATTTGGCATGATATTAATAATCAGATTTAACTAAATATATCGATAATAAATTTTCCTGGTTAAACTATATTTGTCTTACTAAATTGTTGTAAATAACTCAGTTGAAGTATATTTCTACTTTGTCCTTTGTGTAGGTTGTATTGTAGACAATGGTCGAGCTCCTGCACAATATGGCGACGAATCTTGGGATATAGGTTTCGTTCTGGTAATCATTGCTTTTTACAAATAGTTGCGTATGGCTTAAAAACATAACAGGAAAAAAAGGGTCGGCATTTTTTGCATGGTTTTTATTTGGCTTACCCGATTGTTATCAATGATTTACTTACATTTTTTATTATTTTTTTTGTGCAGTCTGTGAAAAACATGACGATTGTGGAGCAGTTTTGTGACAATGAGTGGTGGGAATGCTATGATAAAGGTAAATTTTTATTAGTTTGCAGCAATATCTTATTACTACAGGAGCCAATGGTCCCAGCCACTATAATCTCAGCGAATTTGCAATTTCGATAATTTTAGTTCGGGTTAGGAACTGAAATCTATGAGCATAATTGTATGTTATTGAGATCAATATCACGTTCAGCAACCATAGTTCGACCCATTCCTGTTTTGGGGATGAATTGATTCCAATATTTGGCAAGATTTATTCAGATATAACTGAATGTATTGATCATCAATTTTCCTGGATGAACTATATTTCTTTGTTAAGAATGATTTACTTACATTGTATTTCTAATTACTTATCGATTTTAATCGGTAAGTATGTTGATAGGTATTTGTCTGTTGAATGCATGCGATATCTATTGATTTTGGATGAATTATGTCGTATAATTAGCGAGGTATAAATTAATTAGTGATGGGACACAAGGTGTCACTATGGAGTAAGAGCACTGTTTTGGGGGATCACCTAACTTTCGATCGATAAGTCTTCGGTCTCTGACCGATATTCTCGTTTGTTCTTTGTTCAGAATGCGAAGAAGACGACGATTGCGAAGCTGGACGATATTGTGACCAGTCTTGGTGGCATTGCTTTTTTGTTGAAGATAAATTTCCAATATTTATTAGTATTATCTACAACAAGGGTCGGCAAACTACGGATCCGGCCCGTGGAGCAATATAACCCGCCTCGCGACGCTTCACTGAATTATATTAACAAAACAGCTGTATTGACGATTATATTAAGAACAGAACAGAATTTGTTTAGAAACACTAATTTATATTATAACCTAACAAGTGTATAATTCACAATTACCCGTTTAATGAGCCTATATTTGAGTAATATTAGACAAATGGCAACAGAACGTAAAAAAGTTGATGCTTTGTGCAAATGGTTTAACGACGCAGAGCATAATCAAATGATCAGTCTTCGCGCACTGCTTGAAATTTAACTGAAATCTGTGTGAAAAATGTGATTCATTGGCCGTTCCTTCGGTTTTTAACTTTTCAAAAATATGTCGGCCCACCAATGACTTGCAACCTTTTAGTTCGCGAACCACAAAAGTTTGCCGACCCCTGATCTACAGATACCATTGGCTCTCAGCCGATCCTGACTACTTCACTTTGTTCCGTCTGACACTAAAAATATCGAGCGCCGGATTAACCATTACAATATAAGCACGTGCTTAGGGCACCAAACAAAGAGGGGCACCACAGAAATTTTGAAGCAGAATTTTATATAGTTTATCGGTGTTCATTAAAATATTACGAGTTTACCAGACGACTCAAACTTCAATATGTTCGCTTATTTTTTGTCTTCGAGTATCATATCAACCTTCTTTATTAAAAATAAACACTGAAACTTTTTTTTTGGACACGTAGTGGGCCTATGAGTCGTTTTCCTAAATTGTTGTTGTTTTTTCTTCCTAGTATTCTCCTTGTTGCTGCAATTTTGTTTTAAAAAAATTTCTTTTCTTTTCAACATTTGGACTACTATTTACACTATGTGGCGGTTCCACGATCGCATTTCAACGATCTAGTGGTCAGCGAAGTCGGGAGATTTTTTATAAGGTAGACCAGGGTGGTCCAAACCCTGTTATGCTGATACATTCCGTGCGGCTCACCGAACAATTTTAGCGTATATTTGTATTTAATGGAGGAACGTTATTGAGTTTTTTTTAGCTATTCCAACTGGGGTTGGGATCCCGAGATTCGAACCCTTTTTCTAACGTTTTGTGCCTTTATTTTAGTAAAAACACTCCTCTGTTTTTAAACGTCGGCCATGTGACAGTAGTGACAAAACGCAGAGCCGACTTAACGCTGCGCTATCCATTTTTTTCATAGCTAGCTCCCGAAATACCAACTTAGACGGACTTGGTTGGTATTTGCCGATGGCACTAAGCTTGCTCACGCTGCAAGAGTACAGACTTTTTGGAGAGTACAAAATTGCAAATTTGGAAATCCAAAAGCTAGAATTATTTCCAAGGACCTTCGTTAAAATCCTGGAACAGCTCCTCAAGGGTTCGATCCAAATTATTAAAAAAGCACAAGCGCAACGGCACCCGTAGACTAAGGAAAGGTAGCTTTATGGCTAGTCTAGTCTCGTGTAACCCCAACTGATGTAAATTTACATGATGCCGTAATTGTGACGTGAGGGACTTCCCCTTAAACGAGAAATCGTTCAAGTTCACATTTGCTGTTCGCATTTCTGTCAGACTGCGGTCAGTAAGTACGTTCGCAATGATCAGGCAGTAGCAGTTATTCAAGCACAGTTGTATGTAGGATTGTCGTACGTAGAGTCGGATTTAGACATTGAGGGGGCCTCGGCTACGCACTTGAAAAAAATCGATTTCGTTTTAAGTTTAAAGGAGTACCGTATTCAATTTGTTAACGGTAAATAATAAGAACAAGAATTGTTACCCTGATTTAAAATCAAAGAAATATCTGTATTAATTCGATTTTGAATCTGGTACAAGCCTTCACTGTTTAAAAACGACCTAAAATGAATTGTAGTTCGAAATTGAATGCCAAGGACCCTTTAGGATTCAGCCTATACTTAGCCCAATGGTAAATCCGGCCTGTTCGTAAGCAACCGCGGCCGTGCTGTGCACCATGGGCTATATTAGTCAATAGGGAATAAGTATTTAAATCTATTAACCGTTCATATTATTACCTATATCCTGAATTCAATCATTTTAAATTCGAACACTTGCTTGACCACAAAGGTAAAGTATGTTAGAAAAGTGTCTTTGATTTGCATTGCATTAGTATAGTGTAAATTACGCACTAAATGTGCACAGATTCCTTTTTAATAAAAAATACAGGGGGTTTATTGAACTGCAGATTCTTTCTTCTTGTCTATTTCCTAAATAATCCATATGTGTCCGTTTTTACAAGAGTGCTAAAACGATATAGTATTAAAAAATATATAAGAACCGAGCATTTCTTTGACACGAATTATTCCGTGGAATTGGATTATGGTATTCTTATATACTTTGAGAATAGTTAGTTTATTGATGGAAGCGAATTTTTCGACGAATACGTATGCATGCAGGCAGGCAACTGATTGCACTGCAAGAGATATTTTTTTCTGGTTATGTTACTTGTGAGCAAGTTTTGTTGTTATTTGGGTGTTTGGAGAACAAAAGCTATATTATCCACACGTAGGGTGACCAAAAAAAAAACAGAACTCCAAAATTACTTCTAGTAAATTATTTAATTATGTTTACTCTTGAACGTCTGTTTGTGTGTGATTATAGAGAAAGTTTAAGGAATCTAGTACGTTATGCACAAGAGTTATGTTTCTGTAAATTGACCTCTAAGGCCAGGGTTTCCCAACCTTTTTCCCCTGTAGACCCCCACATTTTTGATTCAAAGTTGTATTAACCCCAAAGTGTTTATTGAAGATATGCAAGATAAATTACTTGCTGTTTTAATAGAACTATTTAATTTTGGTGTACTCAGTATTATTACCATATTCAATTTTGAACTGGAAGGTATGTCTGTGGCGCAGTGATTTCCCTCCATCCCCCCCCCCCCCCCCCCCCGCTGAAATTTCAAACACTCCCCCCAGATTGTGAGATGCGATTCCACACTGTAATTCCGAACTCAAGTATCCAAGTATCACTGTATTTAAATATATAGAATATGACCTATTTGGTTCCTGGTATGTACCCAAAACATAAAGTTGGATATAGACAGTATCTTATGATTTTCAAATTCGTGTTCCCATTTCATAATTGCACGTTAGGAATGCGTGGTGTGGCATTATCATTACCAGACAGAAGGGATGAAAGGCTGCCTGCCTACACCGTGAAAGTCTCGCATATGCAGATAGAGATACACTTGGGATTCATAAATTGAGTTGTATTTCTTGTTCAGGGATTTCCCCTAACCGAGAGCCGAATTTCGATTGACGTTGCAGTCGCATCAAAATACTTTGCAGTCACATAGGTAAACATAGTGTTGGCATTGAATTAATTGACTTTACATTAGGGGAATTAAACATACAACATCTCGCCGTATGTTCGACTATAGTTTGTGACTGGTAAAATCTTTATTGCTTGAATTGTATGAGTCGTTTAATCGTATTTGTATATTGTCTGTATTTTTTGATATTTTACGCTTTTGTGTAATGATTTTAAGCTGGCAAATACAGTATGCGCATTCCCCAAATAACAGTGATCTAATAATTATATGTGGCGCTGCCTTCGGGCAGTAGAATATGTAGTACCTTTGAAAAACACTAGTGGTGGTATTTCTATTATCTCATTATGTGGATAAGTTGTAGCAAAATTTAATGACACATAAATCAAAGCAAGAGCAATTTTTTATTAAAAGTTATTATATTTTTGTGTCAGTCTTCAGTATTTAACCCATATTCTACACCAGTGCCTCTCAAACTTCTTAAATCGCGCCCCCGTTCCAGAAGTTGTCATGTCTTGCGCCCCATTTCTATAGCTTACAACAAGCTACAAATAACAGATAGTAAGGCAAAAGTATATTTCATTCATAAAACACGTGGATAGAACGTAACTATTCAAAATAAAGAAATGTAAATGTTTAAAATAAGGCGAGAAAGACGAAATCTAACAAATACGGGGGCTCCCGAAGTATGCGAACCAAGATGGCGGACATCGGAATGTAACATGTGTACTAGGTTAGGGTCAGGCCATAATTTTAGGTATAAATACTACGGGAGGCTCTTGGCTAGTCTTCGAACTAATAATAGGACTAAAATAAGGAAAATTGGAAAAAAATTATCGCCTAACCCTAACCTGTTCCCATGTTACGTTTCGATGTCCGCCATCTTGGTTCGCATACTTCGGGAGCACCCAAATACGTTTATTTTCAATTGTCTACGCCCACTTTGCGAGGCGCGCCCCACCGTTTGTTAACCACTGTTCTACACCAAATCCTAATACTTCAGTGTTACTCGCCAGTAATATCAGTAATAACTTCATGGTGTATTTTTATTCACATTAAATTCATTTGTAGACTCATCATCATTTATTTTATCAATATGTTATGTAAATAAATTTTTATATTTCCCTCGTATTTAATTTATATTAGTGTGTATTCTAGAGGAAAAGATTTATAGCTTGGCTAGTTTTATCATCAATCTAACATGAAGCCTTCAGAAATACGCTTCAGTCAAGACGATATTGCGCCTAACTTTACTAATGGCGAGAATATTCATGAAGTTATCGGTGAAATCTTGCGCGGAGAGACTTCTGTTTACCCGTTCCAGCCGATCTCTGTTTGGTACGAAAACGGTTCATGGTATTCTGAAAATAATCGTCGACTTTACATGTTTCGAGTCTTGGAATATGAAGGGAAAGTAAATGATATATGTGTAGAAGAGGTAAACAATTTTCTACGTTCGGGGATACTTTTAATTTTATGGTAAATTTATAGTACCGGTATTAATAGAATCAGTTAAGCCAGGGCTGTGCAACCTTTAATACAAATAACTGGTTAAAACCGCTCAAGCTCATTTAAAATAGGATTTTTAGTAGTTGCAGGCACACAATTTTGGTTATTGATCTTAATACATGCGTTGTGTGTTTCGCCATAATTAGCTGTTAGGGCATTGTGACTTCATAGGCATAGATAATAAATACATTGGACTCGGGTATAGGCTTTGCAAAACAACGAGATTGGGAGTACTTACAAGTATTCGATTCATATATCCGATTCCTAAATTTTCGATGCATCGGAATCGATTCAAGTCGATTCCACGAAGAATCGATTCTGTAATCGAACCCGAACTTGATTCCGCCATCCCTAGGGATTACTCGCACGTGCCAGATTAAACTAAATTAAAAACTCGTTTCACCGGCACCATTTTAAATTTTCCGCGGGTCCGTTCAAATTTTCCACAGTCCACAGTTTGCACACCTTTGGATTGAGCTATTGAGCTATATGCACTTCCCTTCGCCTGTTTTGGAACCTTTTATTCATCCCTACCTATGCATACCACTGCTTCTTTTGTCTAATCTTTAGAGGGTCCTGAGACAGTGGTATATGCAAATCGTATTTGTGCCAGCCAAAGTAGTTTGTTATGCACGTGTTCATGTGTAAGTATAATAGTAATAAGAGTTTTAGTAATACTACAGCGAACACAAAGCAAAATATTTTCATAACTATATTATTTTCTTGCTAGACATCGCCCCCAGGATGGCGCCCAAATACGTCAGATAATGATGGAGTCAGTATTCGATTACGTGGAGGAGTGAAGACATATCATCACAGCATTGAAGATGTGAGTATCATGCATTTTTTGCTAAATAAAATACCTTATTGTTGCAGCAACCGTTTTCTCAAAACACGTAGATAAAAAATCGTTTGCCTGCTCAATTAAGTTGAATCTATTAAGCTGTTTTTTTGTTGTTGTCTCAAATGGACTTCAACTTCCGCAGTTAACTGGTGTTTACTGGTGTGTAGTGCAACAACATTCATCGTGAGTTGCTTTATGACTTTGTTGGCAGGTTTCGAACATGCGGGAGTATAAGACCTAAAATATTTCTGTCGCCCTAAAACCAGAGTTGTGCAGCAGGCGGCTCATGAGCTACAACCCGGCCCGACAAGCCATTTAGAATGACCATTTTAGACACTCGGGTTTTTCCCCATCAAGCGTAAAATCCTGATCAGACAATTTTTGCCACAACTTCTGTCAAAGCTGATGTTATCAAACGATGCAAAGAACAAAACTTTCATTCTCTAACTATTTATTGAAATATTTTGGTAAATACTTCTTCTTTAATTAAAATTTTTTCAAACCCAACATGCACTCTTTTGTATAAAAATCCCTCGATGAACGATGTTCTTTTTTATATTAAAGTTTTTCTTGTTACTTATCGATTTTGATCGGTAAGTATGTTGATAGGTATTTGTCTGTCTGTCTGTCTGTCTGTTAGATGCACGCGATATCTCACGAAAGCGAGATTGAATCTGCTCCAGATTTTGTATGTGCATTCATCATATGTCGTACCAGAAGCCTATTGTTTTTGGATGAATTATGTCGTATAATTAGCAAGTTATTAATTAATCAGTGATGGAACACAAGGTGTCACTATGGAGTAAGAGCGCTGTTTTGGGGATCCCCCAACTTTCGATCGATAAGTCTTTGGTCTCTGACCGATATTCTCGTTTCAATATTAATCTAAAATTATTATGTCATTCGTTTCAGATATATAAGGCTGCAAGGGGCAGGACACAGTCTGTATACCAAAGTCCCGGGAGCAGAGGAGATCATCGGAGAGGGCAGGATGTCGCCACGAGTGATCAGGGGTAAGTGCGAATTGTTTGGAGGAAAGAAAATGGAATAAAGCGATGTATATATACAACATAAAGCAGTGATTTTAACCAGGGTTCCGTGGCACTCTAGGGTAGGGCTACTGAACTATTTTTACCGAAGGTCCGCATACAAAACTTTAAAAATATTTGGGTCCGGACTTTCCAGAAATTATATTTCGGCATCCTTGAACACGCAATTCCTCGGCCGACTAATGATTATTAGCTAATCAAGATTGTCTGTTGAGGTGTTATATTTCTTTTTATAGATATTTTTGAATTTATAAAAGTGATTTTATAAAGATTATTCAAAAGTGGGGTTAATGATACAAAATACAAGAATATGCGCGGTCCGAATCGAATACCCGAAAGGTCCGGATTCGGACCGCGGTCCGCCAGTTGAGTAGCCCTGCTCTAGGGCATGGATGGGTGTGCAACCTTTAATACAGGAGAGCAAGATTCAATTATTTATCGGCTAAAAATCGTGCTGCGAGGTCGAAGTGGGTTTGAATATTCTGGTATAAAATCCAACTCTTCGCAATTCGCATTATTTCTCATAATACTGGTTTATTGCTTTTAAATCCTCTGCTCAACTGCGACATCAAGTGCCGGAACGATTTGAATAATAACGATCCATATTAAATTGGTAATCAGACGAAAGACCCTGGTTCATCATATATTTAAACCGTCTCATTGACTTCCCCTCTCTCCTATATTGATTTATATTAGTCCAGTGGTTCTCAAACTTCTTGATCCGCGCCCCCTTTTTAGGATTTGTCAAGTCTCGCGGCCCGCCTCAAAAATACCTACTTAACAGTAAGCTACAAATAACAGATAAAAAGTCGAAAGTATGTTTTATTCAGAAAACACGTGAAACGTAAATAATGAAATAAATGAAAAGTTTGGAAAACGAGTAAAATGTGTGACAATAGTTCTCTGCAATCTCTAAACAATAAGGAGATGTAAATATCCAAAACGAGAATATCGGTCAAAGACCGAAGACTTATTGATCGAAGTTAGGTGATCCCCTAAAACAGCGCTCTTACTCCATAGTGACACCTTGTCCCATCACTAATTAATTAATAACTCGCTAATTAAACGACATAATTCGCCCAAAATAAATAGGCTTCTGGTTCGAGATATGATGAATGCACATGCAAAATCTGAAGCAGATTCAATTTCGCTTTCGTGAGATGTCGCGTGCATCTAACAGAAATGCATACAGACAGACAAACAAATATCAATCAACATAATGAGACGGGCAAGATAAAATCTAACAATTATTTTGATTTTGAATTAGCTCTACGTCCCCTCAAAAAATTGTCTACACCCCCCTTGTGGGCCCCGCCACACCGATTGAAAGCCACTGTTAATATACTGTATTTGTTTTTACAGCTCTGGCTGGGGTTCTGCCTTGATGACCGGGGGAGCACTTTTAGCTGGAGCGGCTGCAGTCATGGCGGCATCTAGTGCATCTAACAGAGAAAATGTAAGTATTATTAACAGTGATATGTATCAGCAATACAAGAGTTTTCATTTCTTTGTTACTATTCATGCCGAAAGAATACAGGACGGGTAAACAAATTCCACAAAAATCCCAAAACCGTGCTTGATAAACAGCATGAGTTCACAGGAGTGGTATTTTCAATTTCAAAACAATTACAAAGGGAATGGAATGAACAAACAAATAAAAAAACATATATTTATGGTATTTCGAATCATGTTTTACCCAGTGTTGTCTAATAAATCTCGATTATCGTAATATTTGTCATATTCGAACAAATATTTAATTAATTGGTAGTCCCGTAGTATGTGTACCAGAGCAAATACCCTCGTATAATATAATAGAGCACATCATAAAGAATATTAAACGACCCATAATTTATTGATTTGTTACCGTATTGCGTACGGTAATTACCTGCCTATGTACCGATACGGTACGCTAGTCCAATAGTTCAGTCAGTCAGTAGTTATACACACCTACAGTCTTATCTCAATACGGTAGTTTAACATAGCCTATGTATAGGGTTACCATATTTGTGTGACTTCAAAGCGGGACACAAAAAGACAAACGACCCCTTGGCTGTGATTGGGTAACTTTACATTTTCCGATTTTACTATATAGGCCTACATTTAAAGCCATCCCGACTGTCTTCGTTGATCATATTGTCATCGAGAGTTCATGCGCATATTCTCTATACAAATATCGGGTTCAGTTCGAAAAATAGAAACGACTTGCCGTTAACGATACAAATATTCCGAAGTCTGATTTTTATGTACAGCAAAAGGAAGAATAATGAAATACCCTGTTGTTTTCAAGCATTGAAAATTTACTTATACGCCCATTCATGCTTTTCTGTAGATAACACCTTCTTCAAAAAGACGTTGTTCAATGTCACATTCACGGTAAACCTCAGAACATGACCAATTAGAACTGATTTTACATGTTATACGTTCGCTAAAAAATGTTATCGGGAGACAACGAAACAAACAAAATAAAGTAAGTAGGCTAACGCTGCGCTACACAGCGACACGAATAACGAGAACATGTTAATTTGTAATGCTCGTGTATTATGCTGAATGGCTGAACGCAAAAGCGGGACTTTTCGCTGTTTTGTCGGGACGGCGGGACAAGACGCTGAAAAGCGGGACGTATGGTAAGCCTACCTATGTAGTCCCACATTTTTCAATTGAGTAAATAATGTGCTATCAATCTGTATGTTACCTATAATTCCCAATGCGACCAAAATATTTTCACTCAGCATTACGATACCGGTACTTACCTGACGACCAAAGTTATCCCCTGTGACGTAGTTAGCCTTCATGGTAACCACTTGTAACTGTTCACAAGGATGCTTAATTTTGCAATCATATTTGTGCTGTATATTTGATGATAAATGTACTAACTTATATTTATGTAAAATGTGAATATTACTTGTTCCGCACGAAATGCATTCATTGCGAAGTGCTTATGATATATAACAATGAAAATGATATATAAATTTTTTTTGATAGAGAACAAAGTTTATTTTACGTCATGTCATGAGGGAGGTTTAGTCCATGGGTCGTTAGTATTAGCAAGCGGTTATTCCCCTTCTCTCACATTCCCCTTTTCCTAGTTTCATTATTTCCCCGGGTGTCGGTTCTTGACGTGATATAACATTTTGGTACATACACTTCCGGAGCGCCAATTAATTATTTAATTCATAAAGAATCTAATATTTTGGAGGGATTCTTCATCACCCTCTTCTGACTAACTGATCGCTTCGTTTGGTTATCTGTGCCCTTGTCCTCCAATTAGTCAGAGGAAATCTGCATCACATATTTTATTAAATAAAATAACCGATTTCCCTGCGTCAAAATGTTATATACACCATACCCATTAACGAAAATAAGTAATGACGTCAGTCAGTCAGTAGTTCATTTTTCACCAAAATGAACAGACACTTGATGCAAACAAAAACTAGAAAAAAAACATAAAAAAAAGACATTTCATGATGAAAGGTGACGCGAAAAAAAAAATGTTGGTTATCGAGCAGCGACACACGTGATAAAAGTCTTACTTTGATACAGGTGTTTACTGGTCGAACAAATTTATGTAATTAAAAAATGAATGTCTAAAAATTAAAACAGTTACAAAAAAGATGGTCATCACGAACCATTTATAGTTCGATAAACTTTATGCTCAACTCATACTCTGTGGCTGGTTGCTATTTCGAATGAGTGCAGATAAGTAAAGGGTCGGGTACTCTATGCCTGGGAAAACAACCAATTTATATAAAATCACATACAGAATATTATAGTTTTTGACCGCTAAAGCGAAATGCAATTGCCGTAAAATGAGGTTGTATGTTCTAAGCCAGGATGTGCAACCTGCGTCCCGCAAAGAAAAATTGTGCGGCTCGCGTAGTAGTGTCAATTTTGAATGATGTTCGGCCCGTGATATATGCGAGTGATTTCAATCCCTTTGCGACTTTTCTATACCGTAGTCCAATTTATTATCTATGCGTATGACATTACAATACCATAACGAGAATATCGGTCAGAGACCAAAGACTTATCGGTCGAAAGTTAGGGGATCTCCCAAAACAGCGCTCATACTCCATAGTGACACCTTGTGTCCCATCACTAATTAATTATTAACTCGCTAATTATACGACATAATTCATCCAAAATCGATAGGCTTTTGGTACGACATATGATGAATGCACATGCAAAATCTGGAGCAGATTCAGTCTCGCTTTCGTGAGATATCGCGTGCATCTAACAGACAAACAAACAGACAAACAGACAGACAAATACCTATCAACATACTTACTGATTAAAATCGATAAGTAACAACTAGCTTGTGCAAACCAAACAACGCATGTCATAAGATCAATAACTCAAATGTTTCTGCCTGCAACTACTAGAAAGCTAGGTTTACCCAGTTTTTGTATCCGGCCCTCCTGTATAAAGCGTTGCACACCCCTGTTCTGAGCCAGAAATAGAACACCCATATTAAAAAAAATCTATAAATGGGGGTTTAGTAACACACAAAAATTTACAGAAACAAACTTTTATTTGAATTATCTTTTGGTAAGTTGATTATTATTTGTTTTACAGAATCAAAATGACAGACGTCGTCAACAACAGCAACCCGAAAATCCGAGAAATGAAGAATGCGCCATCCAGTGATATGAAGATATTTTTGAGTTGCATACTTTTGTTGAATATATTCATAAAGATATCAGAAACTAAGTGTAATTGTAAATAAACAAAATTTAAAATTTATTGATGTATATGATAAAACAAGGTTTCCCAAACTTTTTGGGCCGCGGACCCCTATTTGTGAACTTAATTTTGACGAACACCCATATTATGACGTACCAATCTGTATACTTAACTAATGGGGGAAGATAATGTTTCATTTACAACGCAAACGACACATTAATGTGATGAATGAGATTACTTTTCACAGCACAATTTATCAATTCGCGGAGCAATTTGCGACAAGCAAACTCGCAGGTCCAACTCTCGACTTGTATTTTGTCATAGTATTGGTAATAGCTGTCTCATAGATGCAAATATATGTTGAATGAGTGTGAAATATGTTTTGGGAGAGTGTTATATATTGCTTCAAGGGTGATAGAAGTCGCCGTCGTAAAACGAATATATTTTAGAGTCCTTTTTTTTTCAAAAATAGATTTTTTTTATCTTCTTTCATTATGGACCAGGGCCACCTTTTGGACTGGATTACAAGGCTGTACCAGTTTAAGTTTTGATTTTATATTGTGTCATTTTTTTTTGGTCTGGCTGTACAGGTTGGAATTTATGAAAATACGATATTCTTCAAAAATCAAATACCTTTGACGTGTATAGTAGATGGACATGCGATGACTAGATAACTGCGCCTCCTACACTAGATTTAAACCTATAGGCAGCTCATAAGTTACATTATATTGAGTCCAACAGACATAACTCGAACGAAATGATCACCATATTTTATTATGTTATAATTTCAAAAAAAAAATCCTGATACAAAAAAGAATGAATGAATCAGGCTCGCTACTTTAATATGTGGCCCGAACATTCGTCCGATATAAAACTGTGCATGAAATAACAAGACAGTAATGCTTACAAGTTGCCTGCAGCTAGATATCAAGTAAACACACAAATACAGTACGAGCTTGTCGAACCAGATAAAGAAGAAAGTTACATTAGCACGAAAATACCGCGTTTTACAGGCCATAAGACTCATCTTATTTATTCATACAAAGTGTGCTTTATGGTCCCCAAAATACGGTAAGCAAAACTTGAATATAAGAGCAAAATTAGTCCAGCGTAAATGATTATACAAAATCTTGACGTCTTTTTAGAAAGAAAATTTTTATTTTTAATCGCTAAAAATATCTATTCAATTGATTCTGCAGTCAAGAACAAAATGTGGAACAACAAAAATATAACGAAATAGGTCAACATAAGCTCGAATCACAAAGAAATCCCATTATTTAAACAGTCAATATCTTCTATGTTTTGTATACCAGTTTCTATTATAAAGTTGTCTTGTCGTACATCTCAACGAGGCAAAAGAATCCTGTTATCACTTCCTTTGGCCAGGAGGTAAAGGTTCTTTTGGCGGTACGGTTCTCCGTATACGGAATTTTGGGGTAGGTTCTGCATATGGAGGCTAGAAAAAAAGTTACTTTAATAAATAAACACTAAAAACTCAACACAAAGTAATAATCAGTTTGAGTTACACAAGACTAACTAACTCACCTTGCTCTACGCCATCTCAAAAGGTGGGGCTCGCCCCACAAGAGGTGAATGAGCAATTTTTCACGGGGCGCGGAACAAATTAAAAATAAAACTATTTTCTATAATCGATCTTGGCCGCTTTATTTTAGATATTCACATTTCTTCATTTTGGATATTTACGGTTCCATCCACGTATTTCCAACGTGTTCTTGAATAAAACATACTTTCGCCTTACTATTTGTTATTTGTAGCGATTGTTAGCTAGTTATTTTCGAGATTGGACGCGAGACTTGACAAATTCTAAAATGGGGAATGGCTTAAAAAGTTGCTCTACGTTTTTTCGCAAGTGGATCGGTATTGCGTGAGAGTCTTTCATTTACTTTCAATTTAATTCCACTGAACGGCAAAATATTCATTATTTAACAGTTTATATTGACTTTTTATTGTTTTTATAGTGTATTCAATTTAAACTCAATTTTATCTCCTATTGTCAAAAAAAATATTAATTGATAACCATTACTTATGTGCATGCTACGCTTTCCTTATCATAGATGAAATAAGCGTGTCTGAAGAAGTCGGACCTTGGTCAGACAGTACGTTACAGCATTATGAAGATCAAATTTGCGTTGAAATGAAGACGTGACTCCAGTAAATACAAACAGAATGTAAAAAAGTACATTTATTCTGGAGACGCATTCATTACTGGAAAGCAATTTTGGCCTTATAACACCATAATAAACAATCTTGATTAGCTAATAATTATTAGCCGCCCGAGAAAGTGCGCGTTTAAAAAGGATGCCGAAATATAATTTTTGGAAAACACCGGAAATAATTTTTAAGTTTCTTATGTATTGAAGTTTTGGATCTTTGGTAAAAATAGTTGAGTAGCCCTGATCTAGAGTTAGAAAATAAAAAGTGTACATACCCCTTCTAATTTCACCGCATTGGATACATCTTCTGATCTTTTTTCCTTCAAGTCAACCGAGAAAGCATTTAAAAAAATTAAAATAGCGAACAGAACCGTAACTTGCTTCATGTCTTGGAGTTTGCAATCGTACTATTTACCAAAAAAAGCTAAAATTTATCGGCTCAATATCTTAAATACCCACAAGGTATTTAATGAGCTATATAATTAAACTCAAAACACGGACCGAAATGTTTCATTTGTTAAAATTTTCAAAAGAACAAACCCCTGGGCTATTATTGCATAATTTAGCAAATCGTTGTTTAGCGATTTACATTTTTTTGCAAGAGAATCATGTCTTGGCAATGTTACAATATTTATAGATTTAACATTGATTAGAACTCGGAGTGACTGTAACGCTTAAACCCATTTCCATTGTCTAAATATTTAAGTTAAACTTTGTACTATTTATCTATAATCTGGAGGCCGTTAGTCAATTATATAACTCGGTTCATATTGATCACAAAGTTTCTTTACCATTTAGTGTACTGCTCTGTACTTGGATATGCCCGCTGTAAATACGATACAGTCTGATCTTATTTAACATTGCTATTTTGCATAGGATCTCATAGGGCATACGCAATTGAGTGCATCGCGGTCCGAGTTCGGACCTTTCGAATGTTCCATTCGGACAGCACCAGTTTTTTTATATTTGGGAGCATTGACCTCAATAGCTTTGGATACGTGAAAGTTTATTTTTGATAAATACCTTTTATTCATATTTTTAGAGGTTAATTTCATCATATTACAACGGGCGTTGAGGATGTCAAATCTTTTTGCGAATAGTTTTTCACGGGATTTTCTGTGGAAATGAAAGTTCTAGGCACTGAAATATATCTAGGCGCAATGTGAAATATTTTTTTTGAAAAGACCGGACCACAATAATTTTAAAGTTTTGTATACGGATCTTTAAGTAGCCCTGTTATAGAGTAACGATGGACCAATGCTCCGATATATGGATAGGGAAGTCAAAAAGTATTACCATGAATCAAAATGGATATCAGCCCCAGCGATTTCTTTATCTTCAATCAATTAATCAATGAATATTTAAAATTTATGCACTATCAGTTGCGGGGGAAGGCGATTTTTAAGAGCAACAACAATTGCAAGCATTTATACAGCTATTTGAAAAGATTCATATGTACAATTCGTTCCAAATATTGCGACACAAAGCAAAAAGTAAAACCTTCCTTGATTCGACTAAACAATACAAAATTTATAGTAATGTTTTCTACTGTTAATTTATTACAGATACATTATAAGATATCTGCTCGAACGGTCATTGTGGCATATACCAATTTGAGTAAAATCGGCCATCAATCAGCACGGAGTGTGACATAACAATTGAAATTGTAGCAGCTGAAGGCGAATTCTTCTGGTCGGATGAATCACAGACTACCGTAACAAGAAATTGTTGCCTCCGCAGTGTTTGGCCGCGTTCCCATAGAGCATAGACTGTTTTGGTCTTATAAGGGATTTCATATACAAATATTAACGGAGTATCATTTTAGTAAGTGCCGTTTTCCTTGTGTTGCTTTTGACTACGTTAAACACTTCGAAATTATAAATAGGACAATTGAATAGCAAATTGTTATAGTTTTCTGCATATGGATTAAAATGTTTTGCCCATCATTTTTCTTGTGAACAAAAAACATCCTCAATAATGGTGAACGCATTTCACCTAGTAATAATAATTTGTCTCAAAAACATCAACGGGGTCTTGGGTTTTTCCGCCAATAAATCATCCATTCTGAAAGGAGTTTGTAAAATCCTATAACTATTGAATATCAGCGTATTATTAAAAAGCAAACAGACAAGTTGCCAGTGACGTATCTACGTCAAATGGCGCCAACGGCAAAATTAAAAAATGGGTCTCTTGATCGTCGATCGACAATTGTTAACTTGAAAGCTTATACGTCATGATTTGGGTAAAATTACGAGTTTCCGATATTTCCAGTTTGAAATTATTTTATTGAAACATTCAACGGTGAAAACGTTTCGCCATTTTAGTGCTCCAATCCAAACGGCACGCATGGCTGCCTTACATGTTATTTCAAGTATCGTTGCGATATGCTCGAAATCAAAATTTAGTCAAAGTTTCAACATTTTAGCGCTCTCACACCTACCAATTTTTCACTCCTAACCGAAGCATTCGAAGTGACCAAATCATTCCTTTCTGAAAACTGTCGGCCCTTGTTCAGCAAAGCGTCGTACTTTTCAAAACAATGTGCATTTATATAGTATTTCCATGTAATATAAGAGGATAACCATCCGACACTGCTTGAATTAAATTAGTCCTTGTTTGCATTTAAATAAAAATCTGAGTTTACTCGCAAACTCGTAATAGAACCAAATCAAGGAAAATCGGAATAAAATCGTTGCATAACCTAACCTGGTACATTACGGGAATACCCTGGGTAGTACCCATAGTAAGCTACATTGAGTCAAATCGAACAAATATACCTCAAACGAGTTGATCACCATTTTTTATTTAGGTACACTTTCCAAAATAATTTGATACAAAAAATACTCAAAAGACGTTCATTACAGAGAATGGATCAGGCTCGCTACTGTATTATGTGAACATTTGGTCGATATAAAACGGTGTGTTAAACAACAAGACAGAATTGCCCGTGACTTGGTATCACGTAAACACATCAATAAAGTGCGAGCTTGCCAAGCCAGTTAAAGAAGATCGTTACATTAGTGCAATAATACCGTATCTTACGGACTATAGGGCGTACTGTCAATAAATTGCCTCTATCCGTACATAAATCGCATCGGACTGTAAGGCGCAACGGTCGATTTTTGAGTAAAGAAATAGAAAGAGCGTCTTATGGTCCGCAAAATACGGTAAGCAAAATTTAGAATAAAATATATGAGCCAAATTAGTCCACAAGGAATATATACAATGTTTACGACTAATTTGTGAAAAACCTCTTATTTTATAAAGTAGAATATAGTAGATTGCTAAAAATAGCAGTCACCTAATTCAATAGTCAAGAGGATGTGGAACAATAAAAATTAACAAAACGTGTCACCATGAGTCATAAATCACAAAGAAATCATAATATGTAGACAGTTATTATCTGCAATTTTTTGTATAACGGTTTTTATTTATGAAGTTGTGTCGTAGTACATTTCAATAAAACAAAAGATTTTCTGTTATCCTACAATTGGGCTGGGAGGAAAATGTTCGTCTGTTGGCCCAGTTTTTCCTGACGGCGGAGGTTCCGGAACATTCCTTACTCCTGCAGGCTGAAAAAAATAATTTAATTAAAATTAATAACTTAATTAAAAAACGCTAAAAATTCACGATACAGAGTAATGATAAGTTGGGGTTACGCAAGACTCACTAGCCCTCATATGCCCTTGTGCAAGATCGGTATGTTATTATTAACTTGATTGATTTTATGTTAATAATTTTGCCTATTATATATTATGTAAATTCTAACGAAATCATGTCTTGGCTGGTATTAAAGTTTGGTATTAACGTTTGCGGCCCGCAACGAATTTCGTTATGTGAAAGTGGCCCGCGAGATGAAAAAGGTTGGGCAGGCCTGCTCTACGCCATCTCAAACGGTGGGGCTCGCTCCACAAGTGGGGCATAGGCAATTTTTCACGGGGTTGGAAGCTAATTAAAAATAAATAAAAAATTTATATTCGATCATAGCCGCCTAATTTTAAATATTTACATTTCTTTATTTTGGATATTTACGGTTCCATCCACGTATTTTCAACTTGTTTTCTGAATAAAATATACTTTCGCTTCACTATCTGTTATTTGTAGCTTATTGTTAGCTAGTTATTTTCGAGATTGGACGCGAGACTTGACAAATTCTAAAATGGGGAATGGCTTGAAAAGTCGCTCTACGTCTTTGCGCAAGTGGATCGGCATTGCGTGAGAGTCTTCAATTTACTCTCAATTTTATTTCCACTGAACGGAAGGATATTCATTAATTAACAGGTTATATTTGATTCTTTATTGTTCATGAGAAGTCTTTGATTTAAACTAAATTTTATTTCGTTTTATTAAAAACAAACCCAACAATTGATAACCATTACTTATGTGCATGCTACGCTTTTCTTATCATAGATGAAATATGCTTGTCTGATTAGCTAATAATCATTAGCCGTCCGAGGAAGAGCGCGTTTAAGGATGCCGAAATATATTTTCTGGAAAACACCGGATCTTTGGTAAAAATAGTTGAGTAGCCCTGATCTAGAGTTAGTAAATAAAAAGTTTACATACCCCTTCTAATTTCACAGCATTAGATTCATCTTCCGATCTTCTTTCCTTCAAGTCAATCGAGAAAGCATTCAAAAAAATCAAAATAGCGAACAGAACCGTAACTTGCTTCATGTCTAGGCGTTTGCTGTTCTACAATTTAACGATATACCAGAGTCCTATCGGCCTAACTTGTAAAATATCCACAGGGTATTTATTGAGCTATATAATTAAACTCAAAACACGGACCGAAATGTTTCATTTGTTGAAATTTTCAAAAGAACAAACCCCTGGGCTATTAATACCTAATTTACCGAATCGTTGTTTACCAATTTACAATTTTTTGCGAGAGAATCAGGTCTTCGCAATTTACAATATTTATAGATTTAACATTGATTAGAACTCGGAGTGGCTGTAACGCTTAAACCCATTGCCCGTTGTCTAAATATATATTTAAGTTACACTTTGTACTATTTATCTATAATCTGGAGGCCGTTAGTCAATCATATAACTCGGTTCATATATATCACAAAGCGTCTTTACCATTTAGTATACTGCTCTGTATTTGAATATGCCCGCTGTAAAAACGAAACAGTTTGATCTTATTTAATATTGCTATTCTGCATAGGATCTCATAGGGCAGGGATTGCGAACCACTGACCCGCGGGTCACAAAGTGACCCACCGCGTTTTATTTGTGACCCGCCAAGCGAAGGCACGAATAAAATAAAATGCTAATATATCAGTGATAAAAATTGATAAAACCGGCCTTAAATTAATCTAACAATAACTAAACTATTATGATGTCCCATCAGTTGGACAGTCAGGGAGGGATGCGATCGATCATATTCAAAATGTTCCGGGCCGGTACGGTAATTTTTAAAACCCCTAATCTTGTACGCGTGTATGCACTGCTGTGTACCGGTATTCAGCTATTGGGCCTGACATCGTTTATGACATAACAATGCGATTCATTTCTCGCAACGCCTGTCTTTTTTGGAATTGCATCTGCAGACTGTTTTAGGGAATATAAATATACGAGAACTAGATGCTACTTTGCATTTAATTAGTTTCTCGCCTACAATGCCGTTGTGAAAACAAAATCGTTCAGACTTGACATAAAAATCTAGAAATCTGATATTACAATGGGGCAGTGTAAAAGTACCTTAATGTGGTTGGAAGCTGATCCAAAATTTTAACACTATCAAAGCGGAATTACCTCCAAACACTAGAACCGTAAAATAATTTAACGCATCATCCTAAACGTTTTTGATAATTCATATGCGTTTTTTTCGCACTCTAATATCATAAAACCGAGGGCCATAAAAAGTCCCTGATAGAAGTGCTGCATAAGTAAAGCCCAAAACTACACCAACACCAGCTTATAAGATTTGTTTCTGAAGTTTCTTATAGATATAAACGTGAATTAAATATCTGTGACCCACTCTCTTCTGTTCCGCGATAAAATGATAATTTTTGACTCATTCATTGAAAAAGGTTCGCCATCCCTGTCATAAGGCATACGCAACTAGGTGGATCGCGGTACGAATTCAGACCTTTCGAATATTCCATTCGGACCGCACCAGTTTTTTTCATTTTGGAGCATTGACCTCATTAACTTTCGATACGTGAAAGCTTATTTTTGATAAATAACTTTAATTTATACTGTTAGAGGTTAATTTCATATTACAACGGGCGTTGAGGATGTCAATTTTTTGCGGATAGTTTTTCTGTTAAAATGAAAGTTCTAGGCACTGAAATATATATATGATTTGAAAATTTCGAATTTTCATCCCAATCTGTATTTTTAGCTCTAACCCTAACGTGACCCTAATATGTCGTGTATATGATAGTTTTAGCAGTTGTGAATTAATTCTTATGATCAAGGGAAACGAGGAGATTACAGCAACTAATATAACTCATGCAGGCTACAATCGCTGATACTATAAGTACTGAATACCTGTAACAGTAAACGGATCGACCGACAGTCAGGCTAGCCATGGAGTTGACGGTCGGAACCTCATCCGCTCTTTCGAAATGTAATATAGGGCAACATATGGTGGCCAGATCATGCAAAGCAGAATGCTGAAGATAGATAATGGCCAGCAATGAGCTATTTTGGGTCATTTGTACAAAGCTCCCGGCAATAATGCAAAATTTGAGGTTTAAAAAAAACATCCCGCCACGTTTCAAAATAGGGTGAGCTTGATGTACGATATGTGGCTCATTCAGGCGCAGATAACACGAGGGGATCACGCTATTCATTCACTGATCCGGCCCGCGGGACTTAATTTTCCCAACCCTGTCCTAGCGGGATTGAAGCTGACCGCTATTTGGGGGCAGAGAGATGAGCCAAACAACTTGAGAAAGCGTCGATTTTTGAAGCTGAGAATTTGGTAGGCGATTCACATGAAAGTTCCATGATTTAGATGGGTATACTTTTTTAGCATATAATTGTTATCCACAATATGTATATCTGGAATCGTGTTGAATCAACATGTCAGTAACTCACTTGAAAAGTCTCTTGGATTTGTCATCACAATTTTCTATGCAATTAAAGTTGCAAATCTTATTCCTCTGGTTTTCATTTTCATATACAAATAAATATATATAAGGTGTCTCAAAAGTTAGTATACACTTTTATTTTTGAGTTACTTTTCAGGTACTCATCAAAGAGCGTTCATTTTTTAAGAAAACATAATATGGATAAGTAGTAAAATTTAGGTATTGTTTGCATTTTTCAACAACCCAAAGAATGACGAGGAGAACAAACCAAATATGAGGTGCAAAATTGCTGTTTGGCAAGAAGCTTATGAATCAGTAAGGTCAACTCAGAGCCCTTTTAACCGGGCTTGTCCATGGGAATCCCGGAATCCCTTAGGAAATGCCCATGGGGTGGGATGGGATGGGACATCACACATTTGTATTACCCATGGGACACGTGGGACACGAAAACCGTATGAATAATAGGGAAATGATGGTAAAACATTTCGTTATCGATTTCGTGTCCATATATTTGAGCATAGCTCTCTAGTTGGGTATAAAGAGCGAAATATATTCAGCCTCAACAATATACTTCGTGAAAATGCTGATGGACACATGTATAATGGTTATGAATATAAAATTAACAAAGTCTGTCATTTTTGTTGTTTTGTATGTCTATTCGTACATGTAGTCCTATTTAGTAGATGCTAAACCTAAATTTAGCAATTTTTATTGAATTTTAGGTACTCCTGAAGGATGCGCACCAAGCTGTCGCACAGCCTGAAATCTAATTTGGTACACAACCTGAGTTCAGGTTGTGCGCCATCTTGGTGCGCATACTTCAGGAGGCCCTATTTTATTCCAATGGGAATTCCATGGGATGGGATGGGACTGGCATAATTGCTATGGGAATGGGACAGAAAAATATGTTCCATGGACAAGCCTGCCTTTAACGGAGAATCTGGAATTTATTCGGCTCTGATTGTTTTCCTCGGAGCGTCCGCTCCTTGGTCTTCTAGAATCTAGATGTTTGTGCATCAACAACAGATCCTGTTTTCATAAATTTGCGATGAATTGTTCGTCGTGTAGAGGACAAACAAGCATTTTATTCGGGACCTTATATCTGAGCTACAAATTTTCTGCTTTCCTAGCGACCACCCTGTAGTTTTGACCACTAAAGCGGGATGCACTGGCCGTAAAATGACGATGTTTGTTCTAAGCAGAAGGTAGAACACTTATATTAATTAGGTCTAAACTGGTCTTAAGTAACACAAATTTGCAAAATCAAACTTTTATGCGAATTCCCTTTTGGTTAGTTGAATACCATTTGTTCAACAGAATCAAAACGACAAACGCCGTCAACGTCAGCAACCGGAGAATCCAGTGATATAAAAATATTTTTTGTTGAATAACTTTTGTTGAATATATTTATAAAGACATCAGAAACTAAGTGTAAATGTAAATAAGGGAAATTTAATATTTATTGATGTATATAATATAACAAGGTTTCCCAAACTTTTTGGGCCGCGGACCATATTTGTGATCTTAGTTTTGACGGCCACCCATCCTATGCTGTATCAGTTTGTATGCCTAACTAATGAGGAAGGATAATGTTTCATTTACAACACAAACGACACGTTAATGTGATGAATGAGATTACTTTTCACTGCACAATTTATCAATTCTCGGAGCTATTTGCGACAAGTAAACTCGCATGTCCGACTCTCGACTTGTATTTTGTCATAGTATTGGTAAGAGCTGTCTCATAGATGCAAGTATATGATAATGAGTGAGAAAGATGTTCGGGGAAATGGTAATAATTATATTGCTTCAAGCGTGATAGAAGTTGCCGTAGTGAAACCCGTTTATTTTTTTAGGTCACATTTTTAAGAAGTAGACTTTTTTGATCTTTTGTTATTATGGACCAAGGCCCGTCTATTGGTCTGGATTACAAGGCTGTACCTGTGTAAGTTTTGATTTTATATTGTGCCTTGTGTCATTTTTTTGGTTTGGCTGTACAGGTCGGAATTTATAAAAATACGAATTTTTCCAAAACTTCAAATCACTTTAATACCGTGTTCCCATACGATGACTAGATAAATGCGTCTCCTATACTAGATTTAAACCCATAGTCAGCTCATAAGTTACATTATATTGAGTCCAACAGACATAACTCGAACGAAATGATCACTATATTTTATTATGTTATAATTTCCAAAAAAAATCCTGATACAAAAAAGAGCGTTGAATATAGAAACTGAATCAGGCTCGCTACTTTAATATGTGGCCCGAACATTCGTCCGATATAAAACTGTGCATGAAATAACAAGACAGTAATGCTTACAAGTTGCCTGCAGCTAGATATCAAGTAAACACACAAATATAGTACGAGCTTGTCAAACCAGATAAAGAAAAAAGTTATATTCGCACGAAAATACCGCGTTTTACAGGCCATAAGAATCATCTTATTTATTCATACAAAGTGTGCCTTATGGTCCCCAAAATACGGTAAGCAAAACTTGAATATAAGAGCAAAATTAGTCCAGCGTAAATGAATATACAAAATCTTGACGTCTTTTTAGAAAGAAAATTTTTATTTTTAATCGCTGAAAATATCTATTCAATTGATTCTGCAATCAAAAACAAAATGTGGAACAACAAAAATATAACGAAATAGGTCAACATGAGCTCGAATAACAATAAAATCCCAATATTTAAACAGTCAATATCTGCTATTATTTGTATACCAGTTTTTAATTATAAAGTTGTGTTGTCGTACATCTCAACGAGACGAAAGATTTCTGTTATCACGAATTTGGTCCGGGAGGAAAAAGTTTGGTTGGTGGTTTGGTTCTCCGTGAATTGTGTGGCATAGGATCTGAAACTCCAGGAGGCTAAAAAAATAACTTTATTGAAAAAACTCACAACACAAAGTAATAACCAGTTGGAGTTGCACAAGACTAACTACCTTCCCTTGCTCTAGGCCACCTCAAACTGTGGGGCTCGCCACACAAAAGGGGCATAGGCAATTTTTCACGGGGCGCGAAGCTAATTAAAAATATAAATATTTTCTATATTCGATCTTGGCCGCCCTATTTTGGATATTTACATTTCTTTATTTTGGATATTTACGTTTCGATCCACGTATTTTCAACTTGTTTTTTGAATTAAACATACATTCGCCTTACTATCTGTTATTCCTAGCTTATTGCTAGCTAGGTATATTCGAGGTGGGACGCGAGACTTGACAAATTGTAAAATGAGGGCACGGCTTAAAAAGTTTGAGAACCACTGCCCTAGGCCTTTGCGCAAGTGGATAGGTATTGCTTAAAATTCTTTATTTTATTTTCACTAAACGACAGAATATTCATTGATTAATAGTCTTTTACTTGTAGTGTCTTCAATTTTTACTCAATTTGATATCGTTGAAAACAAACCCAACAATTGAAGAAATGACTTCAGTAAATTCAAGCAAGATGTAAAAACGTATAACTAATCTTTAGAGCAGGGGTTCCCAAACCTATTTGGCCGCGGGCCAAAATTTCAAGGCGAGGATACTCTCGGGCCAGTAAAGCAGAATGACCAAAGAAGCGCGACGCAAAGGCTGGGGTTCAGGGCGCGTTTAAGCGCCCTGAGAAAATTTTGAAAAATAGGCACCAAAATAGGCTACAAGATTGATTTTAGATACACCCAGTATCGCAGTTTGTTATGAAATAAAATTCATAGGTATAATAGTTTGGTGATAGAATACGCGGGGAATAACAAGCACGACTTTCAAAAAGGATTTGTAACTGATAGCGACTATTGAAGTTACTTGCTTATCTGGAGTACGGCTTCGTATATATGTCTACTCATATCATAGTCAAGTTTATAATTGAATTGTTACGATTTACACGTGCTTAAATTGTGATAATGACGTAACAATTGGCGGCTCTACGACGTAAAAGGATGAACACATTTAAATTGTTACACGTGTTAGTATTTATTCATGGTTATAGTTTCACTGATGTTCGGCGGGCCATTTGAAATCGTCTCGCGGGCCGTAATTGACCCGCGGGCCGCGGTTTGGGAACCCCTGCTTTAGAGTCTAGACGCATCCATTACTGAAAAGCAATTTTGGCTTTATAATATCAATTACAAACAAAATAGCTATATGCTATGTTCTTGGACTTAACTATGTTGTCCTTGAAAGATTTTAGTCACAAAGATTTTATTCATTATATCAGTGGTCTGCTATCCAAAATTAAAAAAAAAAAAGTTTACATACTCCTTCTAATTTCAGAGCATTAGATCCATCTTCCAATCTTCTTCCCGTCAAGTCAACCGAGAAAGCATTCAAAAAAATCAAAACAGCGAACAGAACCGTAACTTGCTTCATGTCTAGGCGATTGCTGTTCTACAATTTAACAATATACCAGAGTCCTATTGGCCTAACTTGTAAAATGTCCACGGGGTATTTATTGAGCTATATAATTAAACTCAAAACACGAACAAAAATGTTTCATTTGTTGAAATATTCAAAAGAACAAACCCCTGGGCTATTAATACCTAATTTACCGAATCGTTGTTTACCAATTTACAATTTTTTGCGAGAGAAGCATGTCTTTGCAATGTTACAATATTTATAGATTTACCATTGATTAGATGTCGGAGTGACTGTAACGCTTAAACCCATTGCCCGTTGTCTAACTATATATTTAAGTTGCACTTTGTACTATTTATCTATAATCTGGAGGCCCGTTAGTCAATCATATAACTCGGTTCATATATATCACAAAGTGTCTTTACCATTTAGTATACTGCTCTGTATTTGAATATTCCCGTTGTAAATACGATACAGTTTGATCCTATTTAATATTGCTATTATGCATAGGATCTCATAGGGCATACGCAACTGGGTGGATCGCGGTACGAATTCAGACCTTTCGAATATTCCATTCGGACCGCACCAGTTTTTTTCATTTTGGAGCATTGACCTCATTAACTTTCGATACGTGGAAGCTTATTTTTGATAAATAACTTTTATTTATATTGTAAGAAGTTAATTTCATATTACAACGGGCGTTGAAGATGTCAATTTTTTTGCGGATAGTTTTTCTGTTAAAATGAAAGTTCTAGGCACTGAAATATATAGGATTTGAAAATTTCGAATTTTCAGCCCAATCTGCATTTTTAGCTCTAACCCTAACGTGACCCTAATATGACGTGTATATGATAGTTTTAGCAGTTGTGAATTAATTCTTATGATCAAGGGAAACGAGGAGATTACACCAACTAATATAACTCAGGCTACAATCGCTGATACTATAAATACTGAATATACCTGTAACAGTAAACGGATCGACCGACAGTCAGGCTAGCCATGGAGTTGACGGTCGGAACCTCATCCGCTCTTTCGAAATGTAATATAGGGCAACATATGGTGGCCAGATCATGCAAAGCAGAATTCTGAAGATAAATAATGGCCAGCAATAAGCCCTTTTGGGTCGTTTGTACAAAGCTTCCGGCAATAATGCAAAATGTGGGATTTTGAAGCTGAGAATTTGGTAAGCAATGGGTATACTTTTCTAGCATATAATTGTTATCCAAAAAATGTATATCTGGAATTGTGTTGAATCGACATGTCAATAACTCACTTTGAAAAGTCTCTTGGATATGTCATTACATTTTGCTATGTAATTTGAGTTGCAAATCTTACTCAACATAGAGCGTTCATTTCTTCAGAAAACATAGTATGGATAAGTAGTAAAATTTAGGTATTGTTTGCATTTTTATCAACCCACAGAATGACGAATAGCCCTTTTAACCGGGCTTGTCCGTGGGAATCCCGGAATCTCTCAGGAAACGTCCCATGGGGTGGGATGGGATGGGATAGCACACATTTGTATTGCCCATTGGACACATGAATATTGGGGAAACGATGGTAAAACATTTGGCAATGGATTTCATGTCTATATAGGCTATTTGAGCATATCTCTCTAGTTAGGTATAGAGAGAGAAATATATTCAGTTAACAAAGTCTGTCAATTTTGTTGTTTTGCATGTCTATTCGTTCATGTAGTCCTATTTAGTAGATGCTAAACCTAAATTTAGCAATTTTTATTGAATTTTAGGTACTCCTGAAGTATGCGCACCAAGATGTCGCACAACCTGAAACCTAATTTGGTACACAACTTGAGTTCAGGTAGTGCGCCATCTTGGTGCGCATACTTCAGGAGGTCCTATTTTATTCCAATGGGAATTCCATGGGATGGCACGGGACTGGCATAATTGCTACGGGAATGGGACAGAAAAATACGTTCCATGGACAAGCCTACCTTTAACGGAGAATCTGGAATTTATTCGGCTCTGATTGTTTTCCTCGGAGCGTCCGCTCCTTGGTCTTTCTGATCTTTGTGCATCACTACAGATCCTGTTTTCATAACATTACGATGAATTGCATAAATTGTTTGTCATGTAGAAGACAAATAAGCATTTTATTCGGGACCTTATATCTGAACTTCAAATTTTCTACTTTCCTAGCGACCACCCTGTAGTTTTGACCACTAAAGCGGGATGCACTGGCTGTAAAATGACGATGTGTGTTCTAAGCAGAAGGTAGAACACTTATAGTAATTAAGTCTAAACGGATCTTAAGTAACACAAATTTGAAAACCAAACTTCTATTCGAATTCCCTTTTGGTTAGTTGAATACCATTTGTTCAACAGAATCAAAACGACAAACGCCGTCAACGACAGCAACCGGAGAATCCGAGAAATGAAGAATGCGCCATCCAGTGATATAAGAATATTTATTTGAGTTGAATAACTTTTGTTGAATATATTTATAAAGACACCAGAAACTAAATGTAAATAAAGAAAGTTTAACATTTATTGATGTATATAATATAACAGAGTTTCTCAAACTTTTTGGGCCGCGGACCCCATATTTGTGAACTTAGTTTTGACGGACACCCATATTATGACGTACCAATCTGTATGCTTAACTAATGGGGAAAGATAATGTTTCATTTACAACACAAACGACACATTAATGTGATGAATGAGATTACTTTTCACTGCGAAATTTATCAATACGCGGAGCGATATGCGACAAGAAAACTCGCATGTCCGACTCTCGACTTGTATTTTGTCATAGTATTGGTAACAGCTGAAAATGCTGTCTCATAGATGAAAATATATGTTGAATGAGTGTGAAATATGTTTGGGGAAAGTGTTATATATTGTTTCAAAAGTGATAGAAGTCGCCGTAGTGAAACCCATTTATTTTTTTTAGGTCACATTTTTAAGGAGTAGACTTTTTTGATCTTTTGTTATTTTGAACCAAGGCCCGTCTATTGGTCTGAATTACAAGGCTGTACCTGTGTAAGTTTGATTTTATATTGTGCCTTGTGTCATTTTTTTGGTTTGGCTGTACAGGTCGGAATTTATAAAAATACGAATTTTCCCAAAACTTCAAATCCCTTTAATACCGTGTGCCCATGCGATGACTAGATAAATGCGTCTCCTATACTAGATTTAAACCCATAGTCAGCTCATAAGTTACAATATATTGAGTCCAACAGATATAACTCAAACGAAATGATCACCATATTTTATTATGTTATAATTTCCAAAAAAAATCCTGATACAAAAAAGAGCGTTGAATATAGAAACTGAATCAGGCTCGCTACTTTAATATGTGGCCCGAACATTCGTCCGATATAAAACTGTGCATGAAATAACAAGACAGTAAGGCTCACAAATTGCCTGCAGCTAGATATCATGTAAACACACAAATATAGTACGAGCTTGTCAAACCAGATAAAGAAGAAAGTTATATTCGCACGAAAATACCGCGTTTTACAGGCCATAAGACTCATCTTATTTATTCATACAAAGTGTGCTTTATGGCCCGCAAAATACGGTAAGAAAAACTCGAATATAAGAGCAAAATTAGTCTAGCGTAAATGAATATACAAAATCTTGATGTCTTTTTAGAAAGAAAATTTTTATTTTTAATCGCTGAAAATATCTATTCAATTGATTCTGCAATCAAAAACAAAATGTGGAACAACAAAAATATAACGAAATAGGTCAACATGAGCTCGAATCACAAAGAAATTCCATTATTTAAACAGTCAATATCTTCTATTATTTGTATACCAGTTTTTATTTATAAAGTTGTCTTGTCGTACATCTCAACGAGGCAAAAGAATCCTGTTATCACTTCCTTTGGCCAGGAGGTAAAGGTTCTTTTGGCGGTACGGTTCTCCGTATACGGAATTTTGGGGTAGGTTCTGCATATGGAGGCTAGAAAAAAATTATTTTAATAAAAAAAACTAAAAACTCACCACACAAATTAATAACCAGTTTGAGTTACACAAGACTAACTACCTTACTATGCTCTACGCCATCTCAAACTGTGGGGCTCGCCCCACAAGAGGTGGATGAACAATTTTTCACGGGGCGTGGAGAAAATTAAAAAAAAAACTATTTTCTATATTCGATCTTGGCCGCTTTACTTTAGATATTTACATTTCCTTATTTTGGATATTTACGGTTCCATCCACGTATTTCCAACGTGTTTTTGAATAAAACATACTTTCGCCTTCTTATTTGTTATATGTAGCGTATTGTTAGGTAGTTATTTTCGAGATTGGACGCGAGACTTGACAAATTCTAAAATGGGGAATGGCTTATATAGTTGCACTACGTTTTTTCGCAAGTGGATCGGTATTGCGTGAGAGTCTTTAATTTACTTTCAATTTAATTCCACTGAACGGCAGGATATTCATTATTTAACAGTTTATATTGACTTTCTTATTGTTCTTATAGTGTATTCAATTTAAACTCAATTTTATCTCCTATTGTCAAAAAAAATATTAATTGATAACCATTACTTATGTGCATGCTACGCTTTCCTTATCATAGATGAAATAAGCGTGTCTGAAGAAGTCGGACCTTGGTCAGACAGTACGTTACAGCATTATGAAGATCAAATTTGCGTTGAAATGAAGACGTGACTCCAGTAAATACAAACAGAATGTAAAAAAGTACATTTATTCTGGAGACGCATTCATTACTGGAAAGCAATTTTGGCCTTATAACACCATAATAAACAATCTTGATTAGCTAATAATTATTAGCCGCCCGAGAAAGTGCGCGTTTAAAAAGGATGCCGAAATATAATTTCTGGAAAACACCGGAAATAATTTTTAAGTTTCTTATGTTTTGAAGTTTTGGATCTTTGGTAAAAATAATTGAGTAGCCCTGATCTAGAGTTAGAAAATAAAAAGTGTACATACCCCTTCTAATGTCACCGCATTGGATACGTCTTCTAATCTTTTTCCCTTCAAGTCAACCGAGAAAGCATTTAAAAAAATTAAAATAGCGAACAGAACCGTAACTTGCTTCATGTCTTGGAGTTTGCAATCGTACTATTTACCAAAAAAAGCTAAAATTTATCGGCTCAATATCTTAAATACCCACAAGGTATTTAATGAGCTATATAATTAAACTCAAAACACGGACCGAAATGTTTCATTTGTTAAAATTTTCAAAAGAACAAACCCCTGGGCTATTATTGCATAATTTAGCAAATCGTTGTTTAGCAATTTACATTTTTTTGCAAGAGAATCATGTCTTGGCAATGTTACAATATTTATAGATTTAACATTGATTAGAACTCGGAGTGACTGTAACGCTTAAACCCATTTCCATTGTCTAAATATTTAAGTTAAACTTTGTACTATTTATTTATAATCTGGAGGCCGTTAGTCAATTATATAACTCGGTTCATATTAATCACAAAGTGTCTTTACCATTTAGTATACTGCCGTGTACTTGGATATGCCCGCTGTAAAAACGATACAATTTGATCTTATTTAATATTGCTATTTTGCGTAGGATCAATAGGGCATACGCAATTGAGTGCATCGCGGTCCGAGTTCGGACCTTTCGAATGTTCCATTCGGGCAGCACCAGTTGTTTTTTTTATTTAGGAGCATTGACCTCAATAGCTTTGGATACGTAAAAGTTTATTTTTGATAAATACCTTTTATTCATATTTTTAGAGGTTAATTTCATCATATTACAACGGGCGTTGAGGATGTCAAATCTTTTTGCGAATAGTTTTTCACGGGATTTTCTGTGGAAATGAAAGTTCTAGACACTGAAATATATCTAGGCGCAATGTGAAATATTTTTTTTATAAAGACCGGACCACAATAATTTTAAAGTTTTGTATACAGATTTATCCTTGTTGTTGAAATATATTTTCAATTGTTTGTATCATGAAATGTAGCCCTGTTATAGAGTAACGATGGACCAATGCTCCCATATATGGATAGGGAAGTCAAAAAGCATTACCATGAATCAAAATGGATATCAGCACCAGCGATTTCTTTATCTTCAATCAATTTTTCAATGAATATTTAAACTTATCTGCACTATCAGTTGCGGGGGAAGGCGATTTTTAAGAGCAACAATAATTGCAAGCATTTATACAGCTATTTGAAAAGATTCATATGTACAATTCGGTTCAAATAATGCTACACAAAGCCAAAAGTAAAACCTACCTTGATTCGACTTGACAATACAAAATTTATAATATTGTTGTATACGGCTAATTTATTACAGATACATTATAAAATATCTGCTCGATCGGTCATTGTGGTATATAGTATACCAACTTGAGTAAAATCGGACATCAATCAGCACGAAGTGTGACATAACAATTGAAAGTGTAGCAGCTGAAGGCGAATTCTTCTGTCGGATAAATCACAGACTACCGTAACAAAAAATTGTTTTCTGCATATGGATTAAAATGTTTTGCTTATTCTTTTTCTTGTGAATATAATGCATCCTCAATAATGGTGAACGCATTTCACATAGTAATTTAATTCGTCTCTAAATCATCACCGTGATCTTAGGTTTTGCCACCAATAAATCATCCATTCTGAAACGAGTTTGTAAAATCATATAACGATTGAATATCAACGTATTGAAAAGCAAAAACACAAGTAGGCAGTGGCGTATCTACGTCAAATGGCGCCCACGGCAAAATTAAAAAATGCGTCCCTTGATCGTCGACCAACAATTTTTAACGATAGTTGTGAACTTGAGATGCTTATACGTTATGATTTTCGTAAAAACATGTGTTTTCATTATTTCCAGTTTGAAATTATTTTACGATGTAATCGTTTCGTTGTTTTAGTGCCCCAATCCAAACGGCGCCCATATCTTCCATGCGATAGATACGTCACTTCAAGTATTGTTGCGATATACTCGAAATTAAAATTTAGTCAAAGCTTCAAAATTTTAACGCTCCCGCACCTACCAAATTTTCGAGCTTTACCGAAGCATTCGAAGTGACCAAATCATTCCTTTCTGAAAACTATCGGCCCTTGTTTAACAAAGTGTCGTACATATCAAAACAATGTGCATTTACATAGCATTTCCATGTAATATAAGAGGATAACCATCCGACACTGCTTGAATTAAATTAGTCCTTGTTTGCATTTAAATAAAAATCTGAGTTTACTCGCAAACTCGTAATAGAACTAAATCAAGGAAAATCGGAATAAAATCGTGGCATAACCTAACCTGGTACATTACGGGAATACCCTGGGTAGTACCCATAGTAAGCTACATTGAGTCGAATCGAACAAATATACCTCAAACGAGTTGATCACCATTTTTTATTTAGGTACACTTTCCAAAATAATTTGATACAAAAAATACTCAAAAGACGTTCATTACAGAGAATGGATCAGACTCGCTACTGTATTATGTGAACATTTGGCCAATATAAAACGGTGTGTTAAACAACAAGACAGAATTGCCCGTGACTTGGTATCACGTAAACGGTTTCATTACATTTGAACCCACGTACATTTGAACCTATGACAATTGCACCTGTATGCTATTACACCTATGGAATTTTTTTTGTTTTTCGGATAGTTGAACCCATACTAACCCTAACCCATGGGTTTTAGCACCCGCATATAGATTAAACCCGTGGATATACACATGGGTTCAAATGTACGTGGGTTCAAATGTACGGTCACCCACGTAAACACATCAATAAAGTACGAGCTTGCCAAGCCAGTTAAAGAAGATCCTCACATTAGTGCAATAATACCGCATTTTACGGACTATAGGGCGAACTGTCAATAAATTGCCTCTATCCGTACATAAATCGCATCGGACTGTAAGGCGCAACGGTCGATTTTTGAGTAAAGAAATAGTAGAGCGTCTTATGGTCCGCAAAATACGGTAAGCAAAATTTAGAATAAAATATATGAGCCAAATTAGTCCACAAGGAATATATACAATGTTTACGACTAATTTGTGAAAAACCTCTTATTTTATAAAGTAGAATATAGTAGATTGCTAAAAATAGCAGTCACCTAATTCAATAGTCAAGAGGATGTGGAACAATAATAATTAACAAAACGTGTCACCATGAGTCATAAATCACAAAGAAATTATAATATGTAGACAGTTAATATCTGCAATTTTTTGTATAACGGTTTTTATTTATGAAGTTGTGTCGTAGTACATCTCAATAAAACAAAAGATTTTCTGTTATCCTACAATTGGGCTGGGAGGAAAATGTTCGTCTGTTGGCCCAGTTTTTCCTGACGGCGGAGGTTCCGGAACATTCCTTACTCCTGCAGGCTGAAAAAAATAATTTAATTAAAATTAATAACTTAATTAAAAAACGCTAAAAATTCACGATACAGAGTAATGATAAGTTGGGCTTACGCAAGACTCACTAGCCTTCATATGCCCTTGTGCAAGATCGGTATGTTATTATTAACTTGATTAATTTTATGTTAATAATTTTGCCTATTATATATTATGTAAATTCTAACAAAATCATGTCTTGGCTGGTATTAAAGTTTGGTATTAACGTTTGCGGCCCGCAACGAATTTCGTTATGTGAAAGTGGCCCGCGAGATGAAAAAGGTTGGGCAGGCCTGCTCTACGCCATCTCAAACGGTGGGGCTCGCTCCACAAGTGGGGCATAGGCAATTTTTCACGGGGTGGGAAGCTAATTAAAAATAAATAAAAATTCTATATTCAATCATAGCCGCCTAATTTTAAATATTTACATTTCTTTATTTTGGATATTTACGGTTCCATCCACGTATTTTCAACTTGTTTTCTGAATAAAATATACTTTCGCTTCACTATCTGTTATTTGTAGCTTATTGTTAGCTAGTTATTTTCGAGATTGGACGCGAGACTTGACAAATTCTAAAATGGGGAATGGCTTGTAAAGTCGCTCTACGTCTTTGCGCAAGTTGATCGGCATTGCGTGAGAGTCTTCAATTTACTTTAAATTTTATTTCCACTGAACGGAAGGATATTCATTAATTAACAGGTTATATTTACTTCTTTATTGTTCATGAGAAGTCTTCGATTTAAACTAAATTTTATTTCGTTTTATTAAAAACAAACCCAACAACTGATAACCATTACTTATGTGCATGCTACGCTTTTCTTATCATAGATGAAATATGCGTGTCTGATTAGCTAATAATCATTAGCCGTCCGAGGAAGAGCGCGTTTAAGGATGCCGAAATATATTTTCTGGAAAACACCGGATCTTCGGTAAAAATAGTTGAGTAGCCTTGATCTAGAGTTAGTAAATAAAAAGTGTACATACCCCTTCTAATTTCAACGCATTGGATACATCTTCTAATCTTTTCCCCTTCAAGTCAACCGAGAAAGCATTTAAAAAAATCAAAATAGCGAAGAGAACCGTAACTTGCTTCATGTCTTGGAGTTTGCAGTTCTACCATTTAACGATATACCAGAGTCCTATCGGCCTAACTTGTAAAATGTCCACGGGGTATTTATTGAGCTATATAATTAAACTCAAAACACGAACAGAAATGTTTCATTTGTTGAAATTTTCAAAAGAACCAACCCCTGGGCTATTAATGCATAACTTACCGAATCGTTGTTTAGCAATTCACAATTTTTTGCGAAAAAATCATGTCTTCGCAATGTTACAATATTTATAGATTGAACATCGATTAGAACTCGGAGTGACTGTAACGCTTAAACCCATTTCCATTGTCTAAATATTTAAGTTAAACTTTGTACTATTTATTTATAACCTGGAGGCCGCTAGTCAATTATATAACTAGGTTCATATTAATCACAAAGTGTCTTTACCATTTAATGTACTACTTTGTACTTGGATATGCCCGCTGTAAAAACGATACAGTTTGATCTTATTTAATATTGCTATTTTGCGTAGGATCAATAGGGCATACGCAATTGAGTGGATCGCGGTCCGAGTTCGGACCTTTCGAATGTTCCATTCGGACAGCATCAGTTTTTTTATTATTTAGGAGCATTGACCTCAATAGCTTTGGATACGTAAAAGTTTATTTTTGATAAATACCTTTTATTCATATTTTTATATGTTAATTTCATCATATTACAACGGGCGTTGAGGATGTCAAATCTTTTTGCGAATAGTTTTTCACGGGATTTTCTGTGGAAATGAAAGTTCTAGACACTGAAATATATCTAGGCGCAATGTGAAATATTTTTTTTATAAAGACCGGACCACAATAATTTTAAAGTTTTGTATACGGATTTTTAAGTAGCCCTGTTATAGAGTAACGATGGACCAATGCTCCGATATATGGATAGGGAAGTCAAAAAGTATTACCATGAATCAAAATGGATATCAGCACCAGCGATTTCTTTATCTTCAATCAATTAATCAATGAATATTTAAAATTGTCTGCACTATCAGTTGCGGGGGAAGGCGATTTTTAAGAGCAACAACAATTGCAAGCATTTATACAGCTATTTGAAAAGATTCATATGTACAATTCGTTCCAAATAATGCGACACAAAGCAAAAAGTAAAACCTTCCTTGATTCGACTAAACAATACAAAATTTATAGTAATGTTTTCTACTGTTAATTTATTACAGATACATTATAAGATATCTGCTCGAACGGTCATTGTGGCATATACCAATTTGAGTAAAATCGGCCATCAATCAGCACGGAGTGTGACATAACAATTGAAATTGTAGCAGCTGAAGGCGAATTCTTCTGGTCGGATGAATCACAGACTACCGACACCGTAACAAGAAATTGACTGTTTTGGTCCTATAAGAGATTTCATAAAAAAATATGAATGGAGTATCATTTTAGTAAGTGCCGTTTTCCTTGTATTGCTTTTGACTACTTGAAACACTTCGAAAATATAAATAGGAAAAGAAAATAGCAAACGGGTATATGCATTTTTTTACATATGGATTAAATGTTTTGCTTATTATTTTTCTTGTGAACAAAAAACATCCTCGCAATCCTGATAGTAATTTAATAAGAATTTGTCTTTCAAACATCAACGTAGTCTTAGGTTTTGCCACCAATAAATCATCCATTCTGAAACGAGTTTGTAAAATCATATAACAATTAAATATCAACGTATTAAAAAACAAACACCCAAGCAGCCATTGGCGTATCTACGTCAAATGGCGCCCACGGCAAAATTAAAAAATGCGTCCCTTGATCGTCGACCAACAATTTTTAACGACAGTTGTTAACTTGAGATGCTTATACGTTATAATTTTGGTAAAAATACTAGTTTCCGTCATTTCCTGTTTGAAATTATTTTATTGAAACATTTAACGGTAAAAATGTTTCGCCATTTTAGTGCCCCAATCTAAACGGCGCGCATGGCTGCCATACATGTTATTTCAAGTATCGTTGCGAAGTGCTCGAAATCAAAATTTAGTCAAAGCTTCAAAATTTTAGCGCTCTCACACCTACCAATTTTTCACGCTTTACCGAAGCATTCGAAATGACCAAGTCATTCCTTTCTGAAAACTGTCGGCCCCTGTTCAGCAAAGTGTCGTACTTATCAAAACAATGTGCATTTATATAGCATTTCCATGTAATATGGTATAAAGAGGATAACCATCCGACAATGCTTTATTTAAATAAATCGTTGTATGTTATCGTTGTTCTATGTTTTATGGCGCTTATAACTTCAGTGGTCTTTTGCGCCATTGATCAATTCGAATTAAAGTGCTATACAAACATATTATAGATATATATACAATATTTACAAACAAAGAATTATACAATTAAATCAATTATATTGAGTAATTAATTTGAAATATTTCTGCCCGTAGCCAAAACGAATTCGTTAACAGTTTCAATGATGCTCATGTTATGAAGTTTACTCGCAAACTCGGTAAGACATTTAAAGTTCAATACTTTAAAAATATTTGCGTTTGTTCGTGAATAAACACACAACTGTTCAGGATACTTGAGTATATTAGGATATAACAAAGACATCATAAATCACAGCACTGTGCAGCATGTAGCACAAGCAAGAAAGAGAGAGGGAGCTCAACAGTGACACCAAGCGATATACATAAAGCATTTTTAAAGACGTCATAAATATCATCTTACAATTTGTTCAATTCAAATGTGAAACTAAATTAGTATCCAATAGTGGTTTAAATTTTGGAACAGGCGATTTTGAAAATACAACTCGCTTAAAATTCATTTTGTTGTCGAAGGACGATAATACTCTTGTAACTTTGTTCACAAACGAATGGCTCGATGTGCATAAACACGCGTGTAGATTTTCAGGTTTTTGACACCTGCGAGATGTCACAAAGTGCTTTTGCGACGCATCGGAACCAGGAAAGCAAAAAGTGTGATGACTCGAAGCCAAGACGTCGTTGGTACAATTAACGGCGCCCCTGAAGTATGCGTACCAGGATGGTACGTAGGTACGCTACACCGGAACGTAGAATGTGTACCAGGTTAGGGTTAGGTCATAATTTTAGGTAAATATACTACAGGAGTCATTCGGCTAGTTCCTGAAATCATAATAGAACTAAAATAAGGAAAATTGGAATAACATTATGGCCTAACCCTAACCTGGTACACATACTACTTTCCGGTGTCCGCCATCTTGGTTCGCATACTTCAGGAGTATCCAATTAACACTTATTAAACAGGCAGTAGACGGTCGAAGAGAAATCGCTTTGTTAAGAAAAGTAGTTCCGTCTTTTTGGTTTCGGTGCAGCATTTGCGCAAGCAGAAAAACCGTTTTCGCGACACATCAGAAACAAGAAAGTGAAAAGTGTGACACTCGGCGCCAATACGTCGACGGTGCAATTAACACTTATCAAACAGGCCAGATGAAGGCGGAAGAGAAATCACTTAATTAAGAAAAGCAGTTGTTTCGCTTTCGGTACAGCGACCCCGCCACGTTTCAGAAAAACAAATTAGTAATTATCCAGATGAGTTACGGTTCGGAGTAGGAATGATTTTGAATTTGATTGATTGATTTTGAAGCGCAATCTGCATTTCTAGCTCTAACCCTAACGTGACACTAATATGACGTGTATATAATGGCCTTAGCAGTTGTAAATGAGTTCTTATGATCGAGGGAAATGACTGGATTACACGAACTAATATATTGCAGGCTACAATCGCCGATGCTATATGTACATGTAACACTAAGAAGATCGACCGAGAGGCAGCGCGTAGCCAGGAGGGATGGGGTGGGAGAGATTGGGGGTTTAGGTCTGTATCATTATCATACATAGCAATTTTTCGTGGCTTGAAACGCTTTTTAGACCCTCAAACCGGCCCCGCTAGCTGATACGGTATAACTTGGCAATTAACAATTTCAGATCTCATCCTTTGAAAATTCCTGGCTACGACACTACGAGTACATGAAGTACGTGCTTGAAGGTTAGTTTACTTTATACTGGTTGTCAACAAATTATTTGTTTAAATTACAACACAAGGTGCCAATGGTTCAGATCATGCAACGCAAAATGCTGAAGATAGTTAAAGACCAGCAATTAGCCACATTATATATTTTGTACAAAGACCCCACCACCAATGCAAAAATGTGAGATTTAAGAAAACATCCCCGCCATGTTTTAAAATAAAAATTAGTAGTTACGTTAGTGGTTACGGGTCCAGTTATGATTCCATAAAGGGGCGGATCGGCGATTTACTAAGTGCACCCCAAAAATTAACAAAATCGTGTTAAACATAACTGTCTTTAATTGTCTTTTTAACTACCAATGTATTTACTTTCTCACGCATGAATATGAAATCTCACCTTGATGAACGAAATTGCTGGACTTCCGTGTTCATGATATGACAAGCAGCAAATATATTTTATTCAGGAAAAATATTACAAAAAAACATAATAATATGTAAACACAATCTTTGGCAAAAGTTGCAAAGCTGACCAACTTACACGGTAGTTACAAATAGCTATCATTGGCAAAAAATCATTAAAAGGCTTATTTATGGGAATAAAACAAACTTGACACTAATTTGATAAGCATTAATAATTTCCATCTGGTTTTTTTGTATAGTTTTTAAAAGTATAAAATTTAGCGAACAAAGTGACTGAAAAAAATACTCAAACATATGCGTGAGTCATTCTAGCTCTATAAAAAGTTGAATTTTAAAAATTGCTTCAAAAGTTAATAGGATTCCACTAATGAATTGATACTTTTATGTCACAACAGAAAAAGTCTTACTTTTAAATAAAATACGAGTTTTATAAAAATAGACGGTTGCCGACAATACAGTAAGTATTAACCATGGCAAATTAATTCAGTCAGTCGCAAACCCAAATAAGTTGATACAATTATTTCACAACGAAAAATCGCATTTTAAATTAAAAAAAATATAAATGCAGCACAGAAGTATATTTGGCTATTAGTAGCATAAAAATAGCAGGTTGCTGAGAATTCATTTTGTTTGCAAAATGTCATTGCAAGAAAAATAATGAAAGCAAATCAAGTGTATATAGCAAGTTAGGCAAATAAGATAATTATTTAGCTTTAATATAGTTATGGCTATTGAATTCCCGTTTTGGAAATATATAACGAAAAACGCAAAAAAAAAAATTAATATGAACGATAGAAAAGGCACTATACAAGATCTTTTATTAGTGATGACCTATTTATAAACATGGATCGTTTCACGACCGTTCTAAAGACTGGATTGAAATAAAGCGATGTTTTTTGCTGTTATAAATATATCAATATATGAAATAGTCAAATGCTTCGCTTTATTTCAAACCATAAATACAGAGTGGTTGCTAGAAAATCAGAACATTTGAAGATCAGATGAGATCACGAATAAAATGCGCGCTTTCTTTTTCGATACGTTTTTATTTCTTTTAAGTCCTAGGTTGTTTTAGGTTGATACCTTGAGTTTTATTTGATTTCTGTAATATTCTGTGCAATACAACATATGCCTTTAAAAAACTTTGTAAAAGATATTCTTCGTTAAATGAATGGGTGTTTGACAAATTTTCTGTTTTTCTGGCGATCAATCTTGTGGTTGTGAATGTTTGGACAAAAAGTCCATATCTATGGAGCAAATTTTAAGATTGAATTCTACGTTCTATACACGCTTTAATAATCGGACATATTCTTTGCATGGTTTGTCACAAAGTAAATTAGAACAATATATATGGCACATTGTAGCCTACTGAAAACAGAACCAGAAATCAAGGCTGCACATAAAAATACGATATGGTACATTTGTACTAATGGAATAAGCTAAATAATTCAAACAATAAAAAGGCAGTTTTCGCTAGCGCAAAAAGGTACAAATATTTACATAAAATATACACTATGCCTTACAAATGCATATTTATATTATGACTACAAGCACATGAGCTGTTTATGGCAATTAGTCTGCCAGTACTCCTTCCGCTTTCGTCGGAGGGATGATAAAATCTCTTTTCAAGAAACTTGCATAAAAATAATTCTCAGTGTCCAATATTTGAAGAGGACCTTTATAATATAATATACTGCTATGTCTTCAGTTGCGATCCAAAACTATGTGTACCAATATGGAGGTAACCAATTTTGTTCGCTCATTTTACATCAAGTTGTGTAAAGGGGCTGAAACCTATGGGCAGGGGGTATATTCACTTGGCTAACACAGACAGTCTCCGACTCGTAATAGAACTAAAATAAAATAAGGCAAATCGTAAAAAAGGTCCTGACCCTAACCTGGTACACATAATTGACTTTTATTTCTAGCGAGACAGTTTGTTGCTAATTTTCGATAATCTATTGCTGGCCTTTTGTGTCATCGTGATATCTTAATGAGCATGTCGGTATAAACTGGGGTCTGAGCTCATTGAATCTGTGTCCGAAGTGAGACCCGTTTCTGACGTATTGAAGCTCGCTGCGCCCACTCTGATTGGTGGAAATCCGGAAGCGGGAGAGCGGTATCTTTCCTCAGGAGGGTTAACATCCGGAATGTAGTAACCAGGCGGTGCATGTTTTGGATTGCGCTCTATCACCCTCTCGCGGTTGTGTAATCCTCGGTGGTTAATGCCATTGTGGCTATGAACAGGGTAGGTACCTTCGATGACAGATGGCGGAATAAACTTTTCATGTACAGGTGTAAAAACTCGTTTTATTTTCTTGTATCCAAGGAATTTCAGCTCCAAAATGTTGAGGAAAATACATACTACGGCCACCGCAAACATGAAGTGTAGAAATATGGTTTTCTCCATTGGACGAGAGATGTAACATTCGACAATTTTTGGACAAGGGTAACGAATGCATTCGTAGAACTCGGGAACCGACCACTGGTAGAGATAGTACTAAAATAAAGGTAAAATTTAAGTTAAATAATTAGCGTCGTAAGCAGTAGCGTGTATAGAGGGGGCCAACAGGGCAGTAGGGCTGGGCATTTCCAATCGAATATTCGAATCGAATCGAATAGTAAATTATTCGAATCGGTTCAGAGCTAAATTTCGAATCGCCGCCATCTTGTTTTTATGATTCCTCTAATGGTCGAGGTGAATTCCCCACTTTTTTTTCCTTGGAGTCATATTTTTTCAACGGAATTCTAACATATGACTATTTTCTGCAGTGAGTTATTGATAAAACGTGTTTGTCATTCTGTGTGAACGCTCAGTAATATATCTGAGTAAATCATTCTATGTCTTCAGTAATTCATTTGTTGAGAGGACCAATTACTATAATAAAGTCGCTTACAATTATATATTTTCAAGTATTCGAGATTCGATTCGATTCGAAAAAATAATTCGATTCGATTCTGAAATCACAAGGTATTCGAAAATGCCCAGCCCTACAGGGCAGCCGCCCCGGGCAGCACGTTATGGAGGTAAGCTTGTTGCTTGGTTTGATGATTTAAATATTATTACAACCATTTTAATCTTATTTGACCTCAAATTTATTTATTCCCATGTATAACAACATCTATAATTTGTTTATCCCCAAATTATTTTTGAAGTTAGATATAAAGGCCATCGTTATCTGAAACTATTCACGGGCAGCAGAAAAGTTTGACACGCCACTGGTCGTAGGTCTAATATAACGAGCTTACGCCGACACACAAAATTAAGGAGTCTAGCAATCCTCTCGCAAATTTTAAACTCCACATGGAATTCGAACCTGCGAACCAACACAGGGTAATCAGAGGCGCTTGCTAAGAGTTAAGAATACACTCGCGATTGCACCTCTGATACCACCGCGTGGGTTTCTGCACCATCAAGTCCATGCATCTGAAAACGAGTAACTGGGTAACTAATCTCATACCTGACATGGACTGGTAATCGAGAGGCCGTGGTTTGCCATCTGATCATGCCTTTTTTGCCAAACTATTTTTTTTTATGGGCTTGTAGGACAATTAAAAAAAGGTGGCATTGATAAAACGTTCTCATATCTAGAGTTTATACCAACCTGGAGAAATAGACATCCTCCTTCAATTATTGTCCTAAATATGACGTTGCATAGATAAGTGCGCACGACCATTCGTTTAGTTCGACGCATCTTGGTTTCGCGGGAGATCTGGAAAGCAAAATGACCGCTGTATTATATTACTCTGTTCACTCAAATGATTGTTTACAAAATCATGAAGTCATAATAAAATAACGTCATAAATTCCTCGAAAGTTCGAGAAAAATGCACGGCATCCTAAATATTTCAAAACGAAGTCATATATCATAGTTTCGACACAATTTAAAATGTAAGGGAAAAGTAAATTCTACAGGTCACAGATTTAAAAAAAATTATTGTGCTATATAATGTGATGCGAGTTAGTTGGTAGTTTCTAAACCGAGACTAGTGGCCATCTTGTTGTATCAACAACCGACATATTTTTACCTACTGCAGACCAAACGTTCAAATCAGCAATGTGCAACAGGCGACCCGTGGGCCACAATTCGGCCCGCCCAGCCATTTCGTATGGCCCTTTTCAACACTCTGACTCTTTCTCCACCAAGCATAATATCCGAATCCGACAATTTACAAAGCCGCACACGCGGGTAAAAATACATAATTTGTTTGCTCTTTTCGCTGCGTTAAATATTTCGTCTTTTGCCTAATGCCTTTATCACTGCAAGGCTAAGCAATAGCCGCAGCCCCCTGTTTTGCTTTTCAAGCATTATTAAACTAAATTTTTTGTGTATCTCGGTTAGATGTCCGAAGTTGGTTATATGGCCTGCCGCCAAAAATTTTGCACATTCATTACTTTAAATGCTGTTTATTATCCTACACGTTTTAAAGCAATGTTCACTTACCTTTTCAACTTCTTCTGGAAATATAGACGAAGTATTATCATGCCACACTTCTCTTGAATGCAACAACGCAATCTCACTAGATCTTACACTGCCCTTTTTCGGAACACCATTGGTATCGACATAGATGTTCCTATGAAATAAAAAATAACATCAAACATAGTTCAATGTAATTATATAAGGTAGACAAGACAAGAAGTAGACAAAGAACAGATCTTTTTGGACACGAGAGCCGCTGCTGGTAGAACAAAAGCTAAAGTCAGATAAAGCCAATCGGTGATTATTTAAACCAATGGCACAATTCTTTTTAACGAAAAAAGTTGAATGCATAATCGGTCTACGGGAGTACAGGAAAATAAGTTGGAATATGAACATGGATTTTTCCCAGGATAAACTGGAATCTTTTACCAATACAAATTTCAAAAAGTGTTGGCTCGGTGTTGTGTCGCCCTAATAACAATACCGATACCTAATAACAATTGCCATTATAATTATGGAAGTAACAGATATTTGATTTAGATATCAGAACATTGATAATAATTGGAATGATTCAAAAAAGTGTGAGCCCTTTTTGAAGCCAGTCGCGTTACACTTACAGGAATTCATTTTTTTGAATTTTCAAATCGTTACATAGGCCAAAATTATTTTTTTGAGAAATAGGTTATGTAGATTTTATTTCATAGCTGTTCTTTAAGTGGTATTGGCTTATACTGTTGTTAATGATTATTTCCTGATGTATTATTAATTCACTATTGAGATTTCAATAGCTATTGGCATTTCAGTGGTAGCCAGTTAATTCTCCATAAATTACTCTCCTTTACTTCGGAGTCACAAAAAGTTTCCATTTCCACACTTACTCTTTTTTCTTTTTTTCGCTTGATTTTTTATCATCTTTACTCTTCTCTCGTTCTTTCTCTTTTTTCTTAATAGCATATCTCCAAGCAGTTTGACTACCAGTTTCTTTGTTTTTGTCGTCTCCCTCTGGCGCTTTAGGAACTTGTGCAAGTTTGTGCATTGCGAATATGATGAATATCTAGATTGCGAAATTTTAGATTAAGTAAGTTTAAAAAGTTCTTAATTTATATGATGACCAAAAACTATTTGCAAACTGTTTTTTGTTTTCCTATTCATCAAAATTTTAGCCTTTTCCTATTTTTATTCTACGTGTTGCATTGATTCAAGTGAAATTTTATTAATAAAACAAGACGATGCACATAAAAGACAGAACCTATAAATTTCTTGATTACTTTCACGAAAGTGAAGAATATTTTTAATACTTGAGCTCCAGTTTGTGTATGATTGTGACCAAGTTTCAGTAATCCAGAACGCTTGTACAAATATTATGTTTTCTCTGGAATATTTTATAGGGGGATTTATATATTAGGAGATAAAAACCAGAAGGTGACGGTAGCGCATTCTTGAATAGTCAAAAATGTAAATTTTTCGAATTTTAATTTTCTGTATTTTAGGAGGCGATGATTATGAATAGAGTATTGTTGATGGACGTTAGTAATTGGTGGTTTGAGAACCACTGTACCAGTTGTACGATTATAAATACTGGATTTAGACTTGACTGCGTAAAGTAAAATTGTTTTTAATCTGAAAATTATAACTGTTTTGTTCACTTTTTAGATTTAAAACAATTTTCCTTTTTTTAACAAATTCAAAACTTACCACACTTGGTGTCCCAGTCGCCAATATCTGAAATGCCCAGAATCGAATGTGCGATATCGGCGCAAACATATTGTAACACACTTGCTTACAACCTTGAAATAAAGAAAATTGTTTAAACGTTTTATAAGAAATTATCCTAGAATATTCTGGTATAACGCAAAAGTGAGACAGGCACTTAAATACCAATTCAATAAATTGAACCCAATTTATTGAACAAATAAAATCGCTACCGAAAAATTCTGGAATTTATTTTTAGCTTAAACGTCTAAAACATTATGTGTAATATGCGCTGAGATACTCAACCAGAAATTCTATGAGAAATTCCCTATTGAATAGTCTGGTACAGGGCAAAAGTGCGCAGACACTTACTAAAATATTTTACAGCAATTTATTAAACAAAAAAATCCCTACATATAAAATTCAGGAAATTTTTTAGCTTTTATGTCTAAAAACATTAAATGTAATATAAGCTGAGATACTAAAACTTAAAATACTACGGGCGAGCATAAGACACCAAAACAATTTTCAAAAAATAAGCGATTTCTGCCTGTGGAAAAATGCTGGAAGATAGAGTAGTATATATGACTAAAACAAGAATCAACGTATTTTTTCTGAAAAAATCATATATTTTATTTCTTTCATTGTTTATGGGAAATATTTCAAATCCCCCCCTCCCAGCTTCAGTGAGATTCAACTCGCGATCCTGAACATACCCGGTTGCTTAGTATTGCAGGTAAACTCGTCCTGTTCATCGCTGTACACTGTGTCTCCGATACTTGCAACAACTATGATCCTGAACACGAACATAAATGAGATCCACCATTTCCCAAGGAGTGTGGAATGAGCAGCAGAGTGCTCTATCATCTTTTCTAACAAATGCCACGCCATGGTGCTGGTTTATGTTGGCACTCTTCTTATTGGAAGTTTGATGTTGAGATGTTTTGCTGAGTATTGTAATGTTCAGGACTTCCTCTGCCTTAGAAGCGTATTTTCTTGTTACTTGTAAACTAAGGTGCAAATACTTTATATGTTACATTAAAACTATATAAATTTCATAAAACAAAAATTATTCACAATAAATATTGTGCATCGTCTTTATAGTTACATGGTTAATTAACTGCCAAAGTAACACTTTGAGAACCATTCCTCGAATATTCAAATCGGATATTGAATTAATATCACTGGTTCACTGGTTCCCACCGCTGGGCCACAGTCACATTTTCAGATTTTCAGGTAGAGAGCGTCACTTAACAAGTTTGAGAAAGATAATTACGGCTATGCTCTACCGCTGACTGCAATAAATACAACGAACGGTAAAAATGAACGATAGTCCATTGCTCGCGATATCTCATTCTAGTTGGAGCAAAAACACTACAACTTTGCGTTATCAATTTTTATTCTAATAGCCATTACGATATTGAAAAAAAAAGGAGATTACAAAAAAGTGTTGCGAGAGTTTACAGCTAAACGTTCGATTAAAAATATAATTGCAGAGACAATGAAAATGTAAAATTATTTTATATTGACTCAAGCATTGATGGTGACCAATACTTATTGTTAGATTTTTTAAAATTCACATCATAAACTTAATTGATATCGTATCAACTTGGACTACTTCATGTCTCGTGTTTATTAACTTTTTGCTAACTTATTTGTCCGTCGTCAAATCAATTTTAAAGGCATTTCAGTGTTCTTTAATAACTTCCTTTTTAAAGATAAGTCTCCTGTACCTTTCAGTAAAAGTAAACTGACCTTGCTTTTAGCAAATTTCCTTGAACAATTTTATATTCTGCAATTTTATTTTCTTGGGTAAAAAGTTGTCTAAAATTATTTATTCAATTATTTGTGAAGTAAGTAACATAGAATATGTCTGTCTATCTAAGAATTTGCTAATATCACGACAAATCTTTAAACTGTACTTTGTAACATTATCAAGTATAAAAGTTTAGTGACCGCAGATCCGACTCAATTAAACGGAAAAATTTTAACATTGGATTAAAGAAAATAATTGCTATGTAAATGAAACTACAACGAAATGTAACGTACAATTAAGTTAATATGAAACATCTCACAAAAATTTTTCTAAGCAAACTCACAAGACCTCGATGAAAGTTGAACAAATATACAGAAAATTTGTGAAGCAGCTTTTTATTTTTTATAAAGAATTACTTTTTCGAAGTTTTTTTTAAAAAGGTATGTTATATTACACTCGTAGATGCTCAAAATGTCGGCCGCGAACTTCAGAGCAGTGTCTCAACCTGGTAGAACCTAGAAGGTATCAACCTAAACAACCAAGAACCTAAAAGAAATGAAAACGTATAAAGAAATGAGTATGTACGCATTTTACTCGTGACCTCATCTGAGCTTTAAATTTTATGCTTTTCTAGCAACCACCCTGTTTATACGTTTACTTCCAGGGACTTTTAGGTGAAATGGTATGAAACTTGGCGGTGAAGCAAATAGTATTTGAAACGGGGTCTTTCAACGTTCTCAAAATTGTTCTCGAAACAAACTCACAGGTCGTCGATTAAAGTTGAACAAATCTCGATACGTATTTCCAGGGATCATTTTTATTTTAGGCAGGAACTTGGCAGTGAGGAAAATAGTTTTTAAAATGGGATCTAGCGGTTCTCAACAGTTTCGTTAAATTCCTACTTCCGCATATTCTGTGCTTCTTTATTTCGATCTCACTATGCATAAAACCATTTAGTCAATTTTAAATGGAATCTTGGCTGAAACGTGGCAATATAAGTTCGTTTAACATGAACTAAACTTATTATCACCAAAGCTATAGCAAATTAAGAAACAATGCCAAACGAAATATGTACTAATCTTTTTAAACCTTAGCCTTACTCTAATTATAATTTTCTGCGTATATTGTAAATATCCAAGAATCCAAAAGAATCAAGTTGGAGTATCACTAGAAGACTCACCGTTGATGAAACATATCAGTAATATTAATATATACGGGATTAATAAATTTATTCGTCTCGTCAATAAAATAATAAGGTAAAAAAATTTAAAATAAATTCATGAACAGACGAGAGCTCTACATTTCATTCTGATTAGTAATTCTCTGACACTTTGAATCTATCTTTGAATAAAACATACTTTCGTCTTATTATCTGATATTTGTAGTTTATTCTTAGCTAGTTAATTTTGAGGTGGGGCGCGAGACTTGACAGATTCTGAAAAGCGGGCGCGGCTCAAAACGTTTGACAATCACTGCTCTAGACTTTAGATTACCTCGATGCAATAGCTTCATAAAATTAACCACATGCCAGAAAAAATCATTCCTAATTGTGGTCTATACTGTTATTTCAGGGGATTTACCACAAACGACACCAAAGTATTTCGATGCGGAAGAAGAATTGTTTATGCGATTATTATCCTAATAAATAAACAGTTCAATACAGCGCGCGTCAATGCAAGATAAATCAAAACAGACAATATACTTTGATTTGATTTGTTATATGCTGTTAAAGATACATCAAATCACTTTAATATTGACAATATGAATATTGACAACAAGAATTTAATTTGAAAATATACGTTTAAAATTCTGGGTAAAGTTCTTTTATTTAAAACTCGACTCAAAAGATCTGCTTGACAGGATCCATACTAGGGGGAAAGACTTTCTATGTCTTGAGTTTTTATGTTTTGTCACATAATTTCCTTGTCAAGGCTAATCTTTACACGGGAAATAGGTAAAAAGCAGATGTTTTTTGTTCAATGTATTATGAACTATTCTACAAAATTCCCAATGCGTTTTTCACAGTAAATCCGAACTCTCAATGTGCTGCATGGTAGGAAAGCTCCGCCAGATTTGTAATCATGGTCTAAAATAAGTTCATACAGTACAGCGCATGTTTTAAAATGCATTCTCTGTTTAGGTTTTTTTTACACATTTTCAAGGTCAAGGCTAATTGATACAAATCAGATATTTCTTGATCAATGTAATATCGCGTGTCAATATGATACATGAGCCATTCTGGTCAATTACTGGGTTAGAACAGTGGTTATCAAACTTAGGCGGCACCTCCTTTTTAGAATTTATTAGGTCAACAGCAATATGCTACAGATAACAGATAGTAAGGGAAAAGTTTCATTCAAAAAACACGTTGAAAATACGTGAATGGAGCGTAAATATTCAAAATATAGAAATGTAAACATTTAAAAAATGCTGGCAAGATTTAACCGATATTTATAGTTTTAATTCGCTTCACGCACCCTCAAAAAATTATCTACCCCCCTTGTGAAGCCTTACCGTTCGAAAACCACTGGGCTTTAATGTTGATCGATAACCATTTGTTGATAAAAACTTGATGTTTTGATTGTTAAATTCAAGCCGAGAATCCCGTCTTGATTTTTATTCTAATAGTCTTCAAATAGTACCAAGTATTACAGCACATGTTTAAAATTGCATTGCCCAGCAGTCGTTGCTTGTTTTGACTGTTTGTAAGGCCTTTGTTGTCTAACACGATAATTCAATAATTGCCCTACTCTTCCTAGTGCAATTACTCAACTAATGCGGAAATTATAACTTATAATTGGATAAATTTTTCAATTTCAAAATAAAAGCATAATCTGCGCACTAAGTGTGTGTCAAATTATGAAAAAACGCAGATGTTTGTTTGTTTAAACCTAGTTGATGCTTGAAATAGTTAACGAAAAATAATTATCCGTTAAAATTTTACTGACAATACAATCTCAAACGATTATACTTGAATCAATTTCATAAATCAATATGGGAAATAAATGGATACGAGATTGGCGGTTATGTCACTAAAAATGTCGCTTCTTTGCGGACCTTCAAACATTTTTCGCCAATTTTCATATGGCTACCTGAAATTTTGACCTCCTTACTTATTACTTATCGATTTTAATCGGTATGTTGATAGGTATTTGTCTGTCGGTCTGTTTGTCTGTTAGATGCACGCGATATCTCACGAAAGCGAGATTGAATCTGCTCCAGATTTTGCATGTGCATTCATCATATCTCGGACCAGAAGCCTATGGATTTTGGGCGAATTATGTATAATTAGCGAGTTATTAATTAATTAGTGATGGGACACAAGGTGTCACTATGGAGTAAGAGCGCTGTTTTGGGATCCCTAACTTTCGATCGATAAGTCTTCGGTCTCTGACCGATATTTTTGTTTAGTCATTCATTCGGACAAATATGTGAACGTATCCACGCTCAGTACTGGAAAATTTGATTGAACCTCGTATGCTAGGTGACAATGTTTGTGAAATTTAGTTTTTTATCACACCCAAAATGCAATATCCCAAAATTTGTAGGTAGGGGAGGCAAAATTTATTTTGTGTAATGACGTAATTCAACGCTTACTCGTGCCGTTTGCTCCGAACAAGGCTAGATAAAAGTAGACATTGATATCTACAATATCTTTAAGAATCTCTTTACAGGCTTAATTCGCTGTCGACGTTATCCAAGTTAAACAACCGCCTATTTTTATCTATCTCGGCTGGTTCACTAAGAGCAAGGAATATTGATCGATAGGCCAGTGAAAATAAGCTTTTAGTGATTCGTTCAATGACAGAGCAAAATGATGATGAAAAGACGTAAGAATTTATGTTTCACTACAAATGCCGCATTGGATTTCAAAAATCTTTACATTTAATTAGTAATCGACCGACACTCTTATTTTTTAATCTCGGATACAGCGAAAAAGTTTGTTTGGGTGGATTTTCTTTAAATTCATGAAACCAACCATAACATACTGTTAAAAGAAAATAAAAAAAAAACCCACCATCATAACACAAACGCCCATTTGCTTATTATAAAATGCCTAAATTTTCCAAAATATTATTCGTTTTAAGTAATATAATATAATTGAATAATTTCACGCTCGTGAATCAGAAAATATCCCAATTATTGTCTATTAGTGGTAGGCGATGTCTGACTTTATTTCATGGATTATTTGTTCACACAAAGTAGCAATTTATGACCGAGTGAGGATAATGTAACAAAATGGAGTGAACGCACATTTAGAAAAAGTTGAGATTATAATTGAAACCT